CCCCCCCCCGCGGGGGGGCGGGGAGGGCGGCCGGTGGCTTTTTTGCCTAGGGCGGCAAAAAAGCCAGAGCCGGCCCTGCTTCCCAATGACATTCAAAAACCTGAATTTGTTCTAGCTTTCAGATTAAAATTGAAAATATTTGTTTACTGTTTTTAATTATGTTTGCATTGTAGGATGCCTGGGGATTTTTTTTGGGAAGAATGCTAGATCAATGTATTACGTTATGGTTACTCTTCCAGGCATCTTTTAAAAATTAGGTCTGAATAAATTGGGGCTCCTGGTCTGTGTTAGCTCCATCTGGTAAGATTAGTGCAATCCTCAAAGGGCACACAAGTTCCTCCCTCACAGCCTTTAAACTCTACTGCACTAAAATTGTGCAACAGTCACATTTTGTTCAATAGCATTTTAAAAGTTTGACATTTTCTTATTTCTTATGAGTCAATGTCATAATTATTATGAAATGATAAAATGTAAAAAGTCCGACCAATTATTGTTTTTCTGTAGTTATTTTGATATTGATTGTTCTCGGATTGTACAGCACCTTGCTATGGATGAACAGTGTTTTATAATAATAATGGACTTCCAAGTGGCTGTGGGGGAAAAGAGCAGCACTTTCCACTTCTGTGCACATTCCCCACCCACAATTTGTGGGCTCATGCCCTTGATGAATTTCAACTGATGCCAGCTTTAAAAGCTTCTCATCATTTCAAAGTACAAATGTGCCGTAGTTTTATTTAATGCCATCAGATACATTTTTTATTTATTCTTCAGTCTTGTAAATTTTTCAGAAATCCAAAGTCATGTGATAATGGTTCATATGATCTCTCTTGTCATGTTTCAGGTATACTTATGGAAAGCCAGTGAGAGGAAGTGTAACAGTCACTTGCATTCCTGTGTCCCATTGGGGGAGCAAGAGAAATGTTACTAAAACATTGGAGGTGAGTCTTTGTTGACAATTTGTAGAGTCTTTATGAATGTAAGAACTTTGCTTCTGCATCCACTTCACTGCCAAGATGAACTATTGGAATAAACCCTCATCAACACTTATAAACACACATTCTATCCCCATTTCAGAGTGGTAGCCGTGTTAGTCTGTATCAGCAAAAAGAATGAGGAGTACTTGTGGCACCTTAGAGACAAACAAATTTATTTGATCATAAACTTTCGTGGGCTAAAACCCACTTTATCGGATGCATGCAGTGGAAAAATACAGTAGGAAAATATATATGCACGGAGGACATGATAAAATGGGTGTTGCCATACTAACTATAACGAGAGTAATCAAGTGGGCTATTATCAGCAGGAGAAAAAAAAAGCTTCTGTAGTGGAAATGGGCTATCTTAATTATCAACAGTTGACAAGAAGGTGTGAGTAACAGTAGGGGGAAAAATTAGCATGGGGAAATAGGTTTATTTTGTGTAATGACCCATCCACTCCCAGTCTTTATTCAAGCCTAATTTAATGGTGTCCAGTTTGCAAATTAATTCTGATTCTGCAGTTTCTCGTTGGAGTCTGTTTTTGAAGTTTTTTTGTTGGAGTATTGCGACTTTGAGGTCTGTAATTGAGTGACCAGGGTGGTTGAAGTGTTCTCCGACTGGTTTTTGAACGTTATAATTCTTGACGTCTGTTTTGAGTCCATTTATTGTTATAGCTAGTATGGCAACACCCATTTTTTCATGTCCTCTGTGTGTATATATATCTTCCTACTATATTTTCCACTGCATGCATCCGATGAAGTGGGTTTTAGCCCACGAAAGTTTATGATCAAATAAATTTGTTAGTCTCTAAGGTGCCACAAGTACTCCTTGTTCTATCCCCATTGGGAATCTTTTCTTCTGTTGCCTCATATTGTGTTGCTCACACACTGCTCTTTGTTGATTCTCCTGTTCTCTTCCCATAAGCCACTCCAGGCCTTTTTTCATATCACCCTCTGTACTTAAAGCATCTTCCCTGACTCTGAGCCAATCACCCACATTCTCCTTCACACCTTTCATCTAAACTCACTTCTTCCTGTTACTCTTCCATTGCTGGTCTCCATACCTGCCTGTTTTTCTCCCAACATTTTAATACATTCAATATATTGAAAAGAAAAAGCCAACTGAAACACCCTCACCCTTATATGGGACTAACAAGATGTATGTATCTTGTGTCAATTACGTTATGTGCAACAGCCAGCACATTGGGGCCCCAGCCATAATCTTATAGCTGGGTACTACCATCATACAGATATTAATAACTAGTAAGCATATCTCAGTCTTTCACCATTGTAACCTTTGTCATACTGGTCATCTCTGCTCACTTTTTGTTTACTATAATCTCTCACTATGCTATGTCTCAGTAGGTGCTCAGTACTTTATTCATAGATTTTAAGGCAAGAGGGGACCATTATGGTAATCTAGTCTGACCTCTTTTATAACATAGGACAAGTATTTGACCTAGTAATTCTTGCATTAAGCCCATATCTTGCGGCTGAGCTAGGTCATATATTTTAGAAAGACATCCAATCTTGATTTAAAGACTTCAAGTGATGGAGAATTAACCACATCCTTTTACAGGATCATATGCTCCACTTCTAAGCTTCTTGGGTAGGGACTTGTATTTCACTATAGAACACCATGCACTAATATTCTGGCAGTGTATAGATAATGAATATTCATAATAAAAAATCAAAATTTGCCAGGATCAGACCCTATTGTTGCTTACAGTTAAAAGACTGTTATTGATGATAGAATGATAGTAAATAAGAATGATGATTGCCAAAACAAAGTATTAATATCTTAATTCATGAACTGTAATTGTTGTTTTTTATTGAGGGAACTATCCGATTTAACTAGAAATAATGGATAAAAAAAGTTGTCCTGATTTTAAGTGCTTTGAGTTTTGATGACTCCATTGGAAAAAATCCAGTCAAACAATTTAAGATCTTTGTTTTCTCGTTATAGATAAATGGATCTGTGAACTTCACTTTTAATTACGCAGAGTTTGAAAACTTAACTACTGTCCAACATGCACGGTATCAGCGTGATATAGTTTACAGAGGGCCAACAGAAATTATAGCTGTAGTTACAGAATCACTTACAGGTATGTTACTTACAATATGCCGTTGCTATAGAAAACAAACGATCGAGCCATATCTTAGCAGTTTGTTTATATGCAGAAGGGCTCAAAAAGCTGTACCCTTCAAATCACGGGAGAGAATAGGGAGGATGGCAAATGTGTGGAGTGGAGCAGTGTAACTCATGGAAGCACTGTGCAGCCTCAGGGATCTGGCGCTGAGGGACAGGGTATCAGTGCGTATGCCTGGATTGTCAGGGCACTGGAGTCCCCAGTGGGAAGGATAGTGACAACAGCAGAAATGGGGGTGATTGGAATTAATGTTTGAAATACAAGAGAGTTTCCTCAGTATCGTGAAGAGCTAAGAGAAGCCTTTCAAAAGGATTATACATGAAATCATGTCTTCTGAACACTCATGATTACTCCAACAGGAATCACTCAGAATGCAAGCACCACTGTCTTTCCAAAGCAGAATGACTACATCATTGACTTTTCTGACTATGCTAGAACTCTAAAGCCTTCTCTGAACTTCACAGCTACTGTAAGTTCTTCTATTTAATTATGGTTTGTTCATCAAGATAGTTCTTGTGTAAGAAAAATAATCAATGTTCCTTTTATGGTTCTGCTTAGCTAAAAATGTCTGCTGAGGGTTAGGGGGAATTTACAAATTTATTCTAAGGACACCTCTTATTTCATTCTATTTGTGCCAGTAATTTTAGCATGAGTGTCATTTGCACTAGAAAATTATAAAATAATAGGAAATGTTGTAGAATGGATATTGGCTCAGGTACATGGGATAGATTTGGAGATGGTTGGTGATGGCTCTGGAGGAAAAGAGATTTTTCACAGGGTCTTTAGGATTTGCATCAGGGCTGATTATTTTCCATTTTGATACCATATTTCTGTTCAGTCAGAACACTCTATAGCTAGTCTGGATTTTTTAAATAACTCTGTTAGCTAATGAATCTCGCTCTTTTACTAACATACGCTTATTACTTAGCTTATTACTTAGCTGTTTTATAGAATCCTATAAAACTTGTTTATCCAAACACCTCCTTATATAAAAACCTCTGGTTTTTGAATTGGGTTATGTCCTCTGTGTTTTTCCTTTTATCTAAACCCCTGTCATTTAACTAAATCTCATGTTCCCAATTCTAGACAGATAAAAGGGTTTCTACTCTATGACAATGTCAGCATTTAACAGGCAATCACAAGTGCACCATGTAAAAGGGAAACACTTTAAAGTCTGTTGAAATGAGCCAAGTGAAATTTTTCGTTTGCTGAAGCTGTGAAAAACTTGGATCCAGATAGATAAATGGCAAGTGCTGAATATGAGAATTCACAGCAGGCCAGCCTAACCTCACCATTTAGCTGAAGACGATAGCCTCACAACAGGTGTCTTTGGCTTTTGGTTCTTCTCCCTTCCCTTGCCATCCTCTCAGCTTGCTCCCAGTCCTCATCCACTTTATCCTCCAAAGCAAGACACAGTGGGAGGTGTTGGAGGAAGCTGGTACCAGTGCTGAGCAGCTGACAAGCGAAGAGTGGGATTGTCAGCTATCCACACATAAGGAGCAGCTACTGATAAGTGGAGCTCTGAATATGAGATACACACATAGGAAGGCAAATTAATGGACTGAGGGGTGAGGGAGAATTAACAGTCTGGTGGGAGGGATAGACTTTAGATTAGGGAAGGAGAGAGATGAACTGTATTTGTGTGGGGATGAATTTATGGAGTGTGGGATGGAGAGGAGACTGGATATGCTATGGGGGAAGGGATTGATGGAATGTGAGAACTGATATAATCTGTGAAGGTAACTGAGGGATTTGAAGTGGAGAAGTTGTGTACTGGGGGGTGCTCATTTTGGGACTTTATGCAAATTTTGTGCAGTTTCTCTTCCTCAGGCTTTTTGATGAGCCCATGTCTGAATCAGTTCTGTTCCTCCTACACGTGAATTAGACATTGGACTAACCCTTGTTGCTACTGGCGCTCAATGTGCATACTTAGCTGTGAGGTGCTGCGGTGGTTTCACAAGAACACTAGTAATCTTCACAGTTGGAAAGGGGAAGGTTTCCCATTGTGCCCGCTTTGTCTTGCTTTCCATTCCATTTACCAGTCAGAGTCAGTATCATAGAATCGTAGAAATACTGGAAGGGACCTAGAGAAGTCCTCTAGTCCAACCCCCTGTGCTGAGGCAGAAACAAGTAAACCTAGACCATCCCTGATAGATGTTTGTCCAAAGTGTTCTTATAAAGCTCCAGTGACGAGGATTCCACAACCTCCCTTGGAAGCCTATTCAAGAGCTTAACTACCCTTACAGTTAGAAGTGTTTCCTAATATCTAACCTAAATCTCCCTTGCTGCAGATTAAGCCCATTACTTTTTGTCCTACCTTCAGTGGACATAGAGAATAATTGGTCACTGTCCTCTTTATAACAGCCCTTAACATATTTGAAGACTGTTATCAGGTCCCCTCTCAGTCTTTTTTTTCTCAAGACTAAACATGACCAGTTTTTTAACCTTTCCTCATGGTCAGGTTTTCCAAACCTTTTATCATTTTTTGTTGCTTTTCTCTGGACACTCCCTATGTGAAGTTTCAGACCTGGAATTTGACTTAGGGAGTTGAGGTGTCCTGATAGACATACCGCTACGCCGATATAACGCGACCCTATATAACACGAATTTGGATATAACGTGGTAAAGCAGCGCTCCGGGGGGACGGGGCGGGACTGCGCACTCCGGTGGATCAAAGCAAGTTTGATAGAACGTGGTTTCACCTATAACACAGTAAGATTTTTTGGCTCCCGAGGACAGCGTTATATCGGGGTAGAGGTGTATTGCAAACCTGAAGATAACTGCTGTTTTAAAAATATAACCATGTCATAAAAACGAACGTATGGTTACATCTTGTGAATCCTGGATTTATGTTGTGGCCTGTCTTATGAACACTTCCTTGTTTTTTGTTATTAGCTAAAAGTAACACGTTTTGACAAAAATCAGCTGACGGCCGAAGAGAGAGAAAATTTTGTCACAGTCACTGCAGAACAGTCAGACACAGTTCCTCACCATGCTGTATTCTCTGTGTACGAAAATGGAGCTGTGCAGCAGAGAAATGAGACAGTGCATATCCTAAATTATACTGTCCCAGAAAATGGAATCATTCACCTTGAGGTCCCGGTTCTGACTAATACGATGAGTCTGCTCATTAAGGTATTGTTTACATCATGAAAACTCAAAGCATTAATCCAGCACAATTCAAAGAATGAGACTGTAGTGGCTTTTCAACAGTACATTGCCTCTGACTTATGCAACAGCTGGTGTGGGGAGCAATTATTTATTGTTTGTATTACAGTAGTACCTAGGCCTTTGTCCTAGACACCACCTACACAGCGAGAGAGACTGCCTGACACTAAGTATACAAGACAGACAATGGATGGGAAAGGAAACAGAGGCACAGAAAGGTGAAATGGCTCACCCAGTGTCACACACTAGGTCAGTGGCAGAACCAGAAATAGAAGCCAGGTCTTCTGTTGTGCAGGCTAGTGCCTTATCCACTCATCTGTGCTGTCAGAATTCTGGTCCTCATGTGGGAGCTTGAAGATATTGGTGATTACCCTTAGAGGAAGAAGAGGGAAGGCATAAACTCTAGTTGTACTTCAGGTGATTCCCTATCTGTTTGTTTGCATAGCTCACTTGATGAATGGCACAGTGAATGCTATCCCCTCTGAGGGAAAGGGAGAACAGGGTGTTAAAATAAGAAGTGGGATTAATATTCAGGTCAAGGCCATGAGTAGTGACAAGATTCTGAGATCTTTGGAAAATTGTGATTGTACCTGGTTTGAGTTTGAGCTATCTCACCAGCTGTTGCTGTTTCTAGATGAAATTCATGGGGCCAGGTTCTGCTCTAAATCATACCAGTGTAAATCTAGAATAATTCTATTGGCTTCAGTAGAGTTACTCTGGATTTTATACTAGTAGAACTGAATAGAAACAGACCACAATGAGAATAACTGTAGTTGATATAAACTAATGGGAGATATGACCAACCAAGGAATTACTAATGTTATTAATGATAGTGCTTTAAAAAAATCTGAAAACTAATCACCGCTTAATTGCTTTACGTGACATGCCATACATGAGTACTATGAGAATGGCAACCACATGGCCCTGAATGTCCTTTTTCAAGGGCCTTCCTAGGGTCTCTGCAGTTTTGGTGGGGAAAAAAAATGGTGTTATGTAACCCCCTTGCAAAACCTGACTGCCTGGTCAGAGCCTGTGGGCAGCTGGACTGATGAGAATGACCGCACATATGGGGATCATGGATCAATGCATCTCAGGCCACTCTCATGTTGGCACTTTCTCCTTCTCACCACTTCAGGTCGGTTGTCCCCGAAAATCAGGAATCTCCCAGTTTCTTAAGGTTGTTCCAGGCTTGCAGTAAGGTTATCGAAAAATCTTTCCCGGTTTTGTAAACTTGCTTCAGAGCTGCGCCAAGTTCTGCTGAGCTGCTACAGAAAGGGAAGAGGCACCTTCATGCCCTCTCTCTAATCTGCCAAACCAGTCCCAGGTGTACCTTCCTGCCCACGCTCTTCACCATGAACTCACCCATCCCCATGCCGCATGTCTTGTTTTTTTCACTTGGATAATCTGGCCACCCGAACTATGTTGAAACCATATGTATATAATGTATATAACATTTTTAGTCTGTTTCATACAGTATGTAATGATAGCATATACACGAGCATTAAATAGATTTTTATAATTCTAGCAACATCCTTTTTTGTATTGTCTTACAGGCTAGTTTCCTTGATAGTGAAACTAACATAGCAGTTCACGGTGTATTCAACTCCCCCAGCATGACTTACCTCCAGATAAAAAAACCAAGACAAGATGTAAAGGTAACACATGTTCATATGAAGCTATACTTGCCAATAAAACATTACTGTCAGGTATTCATCATGGACACCTATTTAGCCCTATCATCATATTTCTCTAGGTTGGGATTCCTTTCGAGCTGAGTGTTGCAAGCAACAAGCTAATAAAGGAGATCAGTTATTTGGTAACGTACCAATTTTACATGTGTATGACTTGAGGTGATTGTTACCAACCTGAGATAAAGTCAAATGAGTAAAAAAAATGTGATTAAATATTTAAGAGATTTGATTATTATTGATTTGCTCGGTAAAAACAGTGGATCCAGTCCTTACTTTGTATTTGCTCAGTCCTTACTCAGAGGGAGTCCCACTGTCTGTCCCCTTGGAGCTGTAGGGGAGAGGCCGCTCTGCCATTCTTTTAAAGGGAGGAGTGTGTTCCCCTCTATGTCAGGCCAGCTCTGTTAGCTGATGAGCCTTAGCAGCAGTGTCAGCTCTCACCAATTAGATTGTGCTCATCTACTGGGCAGGGATGCATTTCCAACCCCTCCACCCCAAGAATCCACATGGGATCACAGCACATTCTAACCTCTGATGATCAAGATGCTTGCTGTTAGATGCATAGATTTCTATTAACAGCAAGCTGACCGAGTGTGACCTTAGAATCTCACATTTGACCTGAAATAGGGCACAAATCTATTTTTTCTTTTTTATAATGTAAGAGAAGGCTGCTTTTTTTAAAAAAAAAAATTAACAGTTTGGAAGTCTGGTGGTTCTCCTTGTTTTTTATGTCTTAGGAATAACAGGAATGTTAAGTATGGTCTTTCGTTGGTTTTGTTGGGATTGGAGGTCTGAAATGTATATTTGGTGAGCTTTCTCGGCACTGAAGTGAAGAATGGTGTTGATTTGTGATTGTAATATAGTTAGTATCTTATTATAACTTGGACATTTTATTTTCCCTTTCAGGTGGTAGCTAAAGAACAGATAGTGGCTGTAGGCACAGAGGTTTTGACAACGTTCACTTTAAAACCAGAAAATTCCTGGGCTCCTGTGGCGTGTATAAGTATCTTTTATATTGATGAGAATGGGGAAGTTGTAAATGATGCCCTGACTCTGTCTATTCAGCCTGTTCTTGAAAACAAGGTAGTAAATCAAAGACTGAGTTTGCAATGACTTTCTTTATATGTCTTACATACTAAGTAATAGTTCAGAATGGAAGATTTGCAGATATAAAAATCCTCCTCAATGTAGGCCTGATTCAAAGCTCACTGAATTCAGTGGAAAGACTCGCACTGACTTCATTGGCAGTTGGTTCAGGCCCTATGTGAAAGACTGTTTGAGGAGACATTGGGAAGATACTGGTATCATAGAAAACCAAGAGAGAGTTTCTTCAACTGTGATTCCCCCAGAACTGGACTAGAGAAAGATCCAGAAGGGCCCTACTCAGAAAATACAAGTGTTGTCCTCTCAGAGGAGCAATACTCCCAGCTGTGATATGAATCTGGAAGGCAGAAAACACACTGGAATGAACACGTTTCTGCTGTGTGGAGAGGAACCAAACTGTGGAGAGGCTGCATAGAGGGACTGTTTACCCCTCCCTCCATGAGTACTGCCAGTTCTCTTTGTGGCAATACAGAAGTGGTATCTGGGACAAGGTTGGCCAGTGGAAATTTTTATCCTGTTCAATAGAGTCAAATGTGTTATGGCTAAAAGGGGTAATGTGATCCTTGGATGCACGAACAGGGGAAACTCGAGTAGGAGTAGGGAGGATATTTTACCTCTGTATTTGGCATTGGTGCAACCACTTCTGGAATACTGCATCCAGTTCTGTTGTCCAGAATTCAAGAAGGATGTTGTAGAGGGGCAGAGAAGAGCTATGGGAATGATTAAAAGATTAGAAAACATGCCTCATAGGAGCTCAATATATTTAGCTTACAAAAAGAAGGTTTAGGGGTGACTTAATTACAATCTGTAAGTACCTACATGGGGAACAAATATCTGATAATGGGCTCTTCAATCTAGAAGATAAAGGTAGGATACAATCCAATGGCTGGAAGTTGAAGCCAAACAAATTCATACCTGAAATAAGGTGTACATTTTTAACAGTGAGGGTAATTAACCATTGGAACAATTTATCCAGAGTTGTAATAGATTATCCAACACTAGCAATTTTAAAATTAGTATTGGATGTTTTTCTCAGAGACAAGCTCTAGGAATTATTTTGTGGAAGTTCTATGCCCTGTGTTATAGATGATCACAATACTCCCTTCTGGCCTTGGAATCTATGAATATGCTGAACAATTTTCTTTGGAACCATCCTTGGGAGCTGAGCATTTTTTGTGGTGTTATAAACAGGTTGTGTGGCAAGGGGGTCAGAAAGCTGCAGTTCATACCCTACATGTGACACATTCCTGCTGTGTTGCATATCTGTGTTTTTAAAAGTTCAATAAATTAAAAATAACAATCAATAAAGATAACATAGCTGAGAGCTAAAACTCAGAAGTTTAAGATCAGAAACAGGAGAAGATATTTGTAACAAGAAAGCATATAGGGCCTTATCCAGCTCCACTGAAGTCAATGGGAGTCTTTCCATTGACTTCAGTGGTGCTGTATTCAGTTCCTAGTGAAGATTACAGTATACTTTATGTTACAGAGATAGGGCCTGTTCTTGCAAACCTTTGAGTAAGGACTAGTCTTGTGAGCATGGGTTTGTGGGAACAGGCCAAAATATAAGTATGTGATTAAAGTGCAATTTAAAGATGAGAAAACCAGGGAATCTTAAATACAGAGATAATAGAAAATTGGGAAGATGAATTAATGGGAATTAAATATTAGCCTCATGATTTGAGCCACTGAAAACTTCAGATTTGGAAACCAATGGGATATAATGAAATAATTGATCTTCTTCAAAGCTACAAAAATTCCAAGCTATTTCTACTTCTCTTTGTGAGGGGTAGCTATTGAAATTTCCTAAGTGCAGCAGAAACATGATCAGTTACTTCTGGGAGTAATTTATAGCCTGTTCTTGCATTTCATTTCAATAAATAACTCGGCAACCATGTTTTAAATGTCATTTAATCCAAACCCAACTCTCTTCATGAATCAGTCTGTTGTCTTATTTACAGTATAATAAGCAGTGATAATCACATTTACTTTAGCCATTGATAGTATGTTTGCCACTGGCCCAGACTTTTCACAATGAATGTAGTGCTGTGAAGACCTGTTTCTCTCCTTCAATTCATTTTTCCAGTCAAGAGTTTAGAGTAAAATTTGGTTCTTCAATTAAGAAAAGGGCAAAATTATTAATCTGAAACAGGAGTACTGAACTGGCATCTGTTCCTCAACCCCCTATTCAAGTACTGGAATAGCGTGGAAGGGCCAGTTGGAACCTGTGGGGCTGGTTTGCAGATTGAAAGTGTAACCCACTGGTCAGAGTGTGTTACACAACCCCTCTGTGCCCAACCCACAGAAGATGTGAGTGTGACTGCTCCAGCTACAGAACCTGGCGCTTTAGCTCAGACTCATCCTTTTAGCTCTAGTGGTCCCTTCAATACTCATTATTGGCCAAGATAGTGGCCATCACAGAAACAAAGGATGTCCATGGGGATGCTGGTGCTTGCCAACTACAGATCTAAGGAATCTGAGGGTTAAGGGAGCAGCATGTAAACCCTTAGCCCCTTCCAAGAGTTGGTGGGCACCATGCCTTCCCCAGCAAAACCAGATTCTCAGCTACGACTAATTAAAATAAAAAGCTCATGATTGAAAGCTCTTGGCTGACCCTGAAATATTGCTATGTAATTTAAACCAACATAATTTTCTTCTTTTTCTTAGATCAAAATATCTTGGAATAAAGATAAAGTCAATCCATCTGAGAAAGTCTCCCTTAAAATCAGTGTAACCGAACCCAGATCTGTAATTGGACTCTCAGTTGTTGACAAAAGTACAAAGCTCCTGGGAGAAAGTAGTGACATTACAGAAGACAGTGTAAGTAAAAGAAAAAAGCTTTGCATACAGTGTATTTCTGAAAAGTATAAGGTTATGGAAAGGTAACAATTTTTATGTTTTATTTTATAGATATAAATGCAACTTTGGGACTGATCTTGCAACCTTTACTTGTGTGAACAATTCTTACTCATTCAAGTAGTCTACCAACATTAGTGAGCTGCTTATGAGTATACTGTTTGTAAGATGAGGCCCTTTATTTGGAATTATACTTGTTCTGTCCTGTAAGTTTTCATTCCTTAGATATGCTAGAGGACTAATATTCCACTCAGCATTTCTTTTTCCAACACTTTTGAACTTTGTCCATCAAACTGCTATGTTTTCACAGTCAAATCATTTTTCTTTTAGGACCAAATAAAGTAGGAAAGCTCTTCACACATGCCCGCCACTTCCCGCAGCTCCCATTGGCTGGGAACGGCGAACCGCGGCTACAGGGAGCTGTGGGAACCATGCCTGCGGATGGTCAACGTCCACAAAATGTCTCGCGGCCCGCAATCAGCTTACCCTGATGGGCCGCAGGTTGCCCACCACTGGTGTAAGCCATTATTGCCTAACCCCATTCATCTGGTAACTCCAATTTTCCAGAGGCAAGAGATCTACTGTTTGAGGGATAGCTCTGCAAATTAACATCCTGTACAGTATATTTTATCTAAAGAATTGCATCCTGCTTTCACAATTTGCATTATTTTCTTTTTCTTTTCTTAGGTGCTTCATGAACTACATTTGTACAACACAGCACAATATTTTGACTCAATCAGAAGTCCTCTCAGTGTCTTTCAGGTATCATTTTTAAATCTAGAAGTTGGATTTTTTTCTCTTTAATTGTTTGTACATCCTCTGCAGAAGGAAAATATATTAAATATGCCTTGTAAAGTTTGAAAACTGTAGACATTGCACTGTTTTCATGCTTTCTACTGTGATTGTCAAGAGGGCATCAATTTGTTTTGGGGGAGAATTTAATTTTGTTTTACAAAAGTCTAAAAATGAAAGTATTCACAGAATTTTAATAGATAATAGTGAAATTCATCACTATGTGCCCATTTCAGAATGAAAACATGCAGATGAACTATCAGTCCACTGAAGTCTTTGTTCTTAATTCTTTTTTATTTACGCTAAAACGTCATGCCACCCTAAGTGATGTCTGATGGTGTGGTAAGGATTCAAAGTCAGAAAATAGCATTTGTTGTGGCATGCATTTGACTTGCTAAAAATTGACTTGCATTTAAAAAAGAAAGAAAGACATTTAAAAAGAACGAAAGAAACAAAAAACAAGATAATGAGTACTTTGCATGTCCTGTACTGAGATAGATTGTATGTTTTTTTTTATCCAGAAGTGCAACCTCTGGGTATTGACTGATGCAAACCTTCCAGAAGACAAGAATGATGTTCTCTGTAAGTAATAAAAATTGGCATAACCAAACCATTGTTATCTGCTAGGTCCAGAAGAGTTAAAGATAAACAAACAGGGCCAAATTCTGATTAGTTACACCAGGAAAAACCCAGAGTCACTCCACAGAAGTCATAGACTTACCTGTATGTAAGCTGGTGTAATATGGGAGAATTTGGCCTACATGTTTTATCTTTGATTTGAATAACTTTCTTTAACAGCATGTATTTTGCGTATTTGTCAGGATTATGTTGTTGTCTGAGGTGACAAAAGATCCATCGGGGCTTGAAGACAAATTCCTGAAATAGATATTTCAAATACAGACCCTTCCTCCACAGCTGGAGAGGGTTCCTATCCAGGGGCGGCTCCAGGCACCAGTGCACCAAGCACCCACCTGGGGCGGCAAGCCATGGGGGACGGCCTGCCAGTCGCCGTGAGGACGGCAGGCAGGCGGCTTTCGGCGGCATGCCTGCGGGAGGTCCGCTGGTCCTGCGGCTTCGGCGGCAATTCGGCGGCGGGGACGCCAGTGGCGTGGCACCGGTGGACCTCCTGCAGGCATGCCGCCGAATCCACGTGACCAGCGGACCGCCCGCAGGTGCACCGCCGAAAGCCGCCTGCCTGCCGTGCTTGGGGTGGCAAAAAACATAAAGCCACCCCTGTTCCTATCCAGCGGAACCAGTGTGGTTCAGCTGTGCAGCTTGGGTGACTAGATTTGTGTGCAATGTACTTGAGGTGAGTTGCACTCAGCATGAGCTCATTACATCAAGCCTGCAGGGCTACTACATAGATCCTTTCACCCTCTGTCTTGTGTGTGTGGGTACATAAAACCTTACTTCATATGACTGAATAATCTCTGTGGAGCACCTCTGCAGCTATTTTACAATCTAGGGAGAAGAATTCCTGTCATTTACGTTGCATCCAGCCCAGCTAAATCAAATTCTAGGCTCATGATTAAATCTTAAGAGTCTGATTTTGTAAATGCTTACTGACCTGAGCAGTCTTAACCACTGTGACAAGGCCATTGGCTTCATCCCTAATGACTACCCTCATGAATAGGTGTTTGCAGGATTGCCACCTGAGATGCTTGGAGAGTTTTGGGTATAAATATGGGGTAACACTTTCATAAGTACTTAAATCAATTGATGGGACTTAGGCTCCTAATCAACTTAGGTGCTTCTGAACATGGGACTTAGGCTATTTTGCATTTTTTCCCTATGGACTCTATGGATTCTGTCCATGCTACTGCTGCCTTGACATGAAGTGGCTGTAAGTGACCTGGACCTGAGAGGTGCTTTGTGTTTACAACTCCCATTGACTTAAACAGCAATGGCTCAGCACCCCTGGCATAGTTATATTCATACGGAGTATATGTATACCCCTAAAGAGTAGGGTATGTCTACACAGCATTTGGAAGCAAGCGGGAGTGAGCCCTTGGGCTAGTGGGGCTCACACTAGTGCTCTAAACAGCACTTTGAGGTTGTGGCTTGGGTGGAGCTTGAGGTCTGAAGCCCCCACCCCCAGACTTCAGAGCCTGAGCGCCAGCCGAAGCTGCAACTTCAAAGTACTGTCTATACAGCTACATTTAGAGTGTAGCACAAGACCTGCTAGCCCAAGTCTGATGACCTAGCTGGGAGGTTTGCTCCTGTTTACTCCAAAATACTGTATAGACATAGAGACCTGCCAAACTTAAATTTCGTGTGCAATGCTTTTGTGTTTTTAAGTGAAAATAACAGTGCAATAACACTAAATTCAATTCAGAAATACCATGTGTACTGTTACCAAACGTCTTGTGAGTTTGTAAATAATTATACACGAAACAAGGAGCTAATTTTATTTTTTTTGCTATGTAGAGTTTTCTGCTATTTGACAATAATTTTAACTTTGTAGATGATGGGATGATACCCTACAGTGCGGATTTCGATGACTATCTAGATTCTGCAGCCGGATTTCCTGCTTTCAGTAGTCCACATGTAAGGAAACATTTCCCGGAGACTTGGCTTTGGGTTGACACCAATACTAGGTAAATGCTTAGAGGAAAACAGATTTTTACACTTACTTGCTCTGGATTTCTGACATATTTTAATTATTTTCTAGGGGCACGTTGCACTATTACATTTTAAATAGGATTCTGCATTGATCCCTATTACTATTTATATTACAGTACCACCTAGAGGCAGTAACTAAGATTGGAAGTCCACTGTGCTAGGCATTGTACAAATACATTTTAAGAGACAATCACTGCCTGAAGAGCTTACAATCTAAATAAACAACACAGAGAAAGGTTGGGGAAAGGGAAGTAGTATTATGTCCCTTATACAGATGGGTAAATGAGGCACAGGGAGATTAGATGATTTACCTCAGGTGACACTAAAGTCCGTGGTAGATGCAGAAATTAAATCCTACTTTACTGAGCCCTAGTCCAGTGTCTTAACCATGAGACCATCCAAAATTGCTAAATTGGTGGCACAATCTGACCTGTATTGTGCTTCAGTACATGATACTCATTTAACTAAGCATCAGTATCTGGAGCTTTAGGAAAACAGCTGACATCTGGAGGGTATTTCTATAGAATATACAGGGATTTATTCTCTTACAGTGAGTAATTTCTAATTCACCATTTAATTATTACTTTGGGGACTAATAAAAACATATTTACAGAAAGTTGGGAGAAGAAGAAAAGGTAAACAACAAACTTTCCTGTTAAGAATTCAGACTACATTTATGATCTATCTTAAACATTTTATTAACTGAGCATTAAATAGCACTTTTGAAATTCGGATGTGCTTTTCTATTATCAGATCCAGCAGAGACACAACAATGGAAGTTACTGTACCTGATACCATCACTTCTTGGGTAGCCAGTGCTTTTGTAATATCTGAAAACCTTGGACTTGGAATTACAACTGCTCCTGTTGAGGTAACATAGTACAATATAGTTCCAGTTTATGTTATTGGTAACACCCTAGTTTATTATTTTCAGTTTTATATTGTAACAATAATAGTAGCAACCTGATTATTTTAATAAGGAAAACAAGACTTATTAAATACAATCGCATTTTAAGCAGAGCTGCACACTGAAATCAGTGGGGAGTTCTCCTTTAAAATCTATGGTACCGTATCCCTCCTTCTACTGTATGCATAAATAACTTTAATACTGCATAATGATATACAGTGATTCTGTGCCTTTGGGTGTCTGTCTTTGTTGGAATATAAGTGCATCTGCTTGCTGCCTGCTTTCGTTTCTTTATTTCACAGCTTTAGTTCAAAAATGTTGTATTTTCAAAAATATACCTAATATAGATAATTCTTAAAAATACAAACCCCGAATTACAGCACTTTCAGAAAGCAATATATAAAGAAGAAAAAATAGATTATTAGACGAGCCCATTATTTTGCTTTCTAATATATCCTTCCCCATTGGTATGAAAATAGGGTCATGGAGAGACACGTTTTTAAATCATCCATTACTTAAGCATCCAAAACAGTTGAAAGTCATTATTTAACAGGATCCCAAATGATGGGAAAGGTCAAAGCTTTCAAACCTGGATGTCTGAAGTTAAACTTTTAAATCATTCTAGGCACCTAAGATATGAAATGCCTGTCTTTTCAAAAATGCCAAGAGCCCAGCTCCTCCCATGTGACCAGGGCTAGAGGGCATGTCTACGCTGCAGTAAAACACCTGTGGCTGGTCCGAGCCAAGACTCCAGCCTGAGCTTGAACATCTACACTGCAATTTTATAGCTCTGCAACCTGAGCCCGGGTCAGCTGACATCGGCCAGCCACAGGTGTTTTATTGCAGTGTAATAAAGAGAGTCCTCAGAAAAAGGCATTTGCTATTGTACTAAACAGTGGTTCTCAAACTTTTGTACTGGTGACCCCTTTCACATAGCAAGCCTCTGAGTGGGACCCCCCTTATAAATTAAAAACACTTGTTTATATATTTAACACCATTATAAATGCTGAAGGCAAAGCGGAGCTTGGGGTGGAGTCTGACAGCTCATGACCCCCCATGTAATAACCTCGCGACCCCTTGAGGGGTCCTGACCCGCAGTTTGAGAACCCCTGTACTAATAGTTGCTTTGGCTCATGCTTCAGTCCTATCATATTACTAGGGCTTCTGTTTTTCAGGGTTTGTTAATTTCATTTTTTGAGGCTTATTTTTAGCAATTTTTGAATTCTATGTAGATGTCTAAAAACTGGGGTTTTTCGGGGCTCTCTCTTTGTACTGTACTGAGTAATCTCTTTGTAATGTTCCCTAGTGTGCTGTTGTGTCACACTGTTTCAAACAGCACTATGTTAAAGCTCACTAGAGAATCTTTACTGTGCATCAGCAGGATCTACACAGACCAATTAATGTGAAACACGTTAGTGTGTTTTAGAAATCATGCCCCTGTAGTCCACATTACTGCTCTGCATAGACAAGCCATTAACTACAAGTAACTATTTCTGGTGTTTGTCTGGTGATTTTTGGATAAACACTGTTTTCATTTTTTTTTATTGTGTGTTTTATTGGTGTTTATTGGTTAAAACCAAAAATCAGAAACAATGCATATTACCTAATGCTAATTGTCCAGTACAAGTAACCTTGTTCTCTAATCCAGGTTTACCAATGGGAAAGTCTAATTAGAACAGATCTGAATCTAAACTGTCTGTAGCAAATTTAATAGCTAATATATGACCACAGGGGTTCACTATTGTATAATGATTTTGTTTTCCAGTTAGAAGCTTTTCAACCCTTTTTCATTTCCTTGAACCTTCCTTACTCGGTTACCAGAGGAGAGCAGTTTATTTTGGAAGTAAATATCTTTAATTATTTGAAAGAAGCAACCAAGGTAAATATAGGCAAACTCTTTTTTGTTAGTATTTTTCCCTTACCATTTTGCTATGCTCTGAAGTTTGTCAGCTCTTCTAGAGGCACTCTTTAATATATGAACTATATGCTACAGGAGTCAGGAAAATCTAGTTTCCTACATGTAAATCATTGCACCCAAATTAGTCAAATGGACTGTATATTTTTGGCTTCCTCTGAATGGGATTGGCCAGAAATAGGATACTGGGTTTGATGGTTGGATCTGGTATGACATATAATGTGTTCTTGAGCCCTTCCATTTGGTGAATGGCAGTTCCTGTGAAGTGCTGAGATCTTTAGCTCCCATCAACTTCCAGTTCTTTCTTTTTCTTCTTTGCCTCTTGTCCATGTTTTCTTGCTCTGATTCTTGGATGATGCCCAGACGTTGCAAGGCTTACACATACTATAGTGATCACATCTCCTTGAGATTCTTACAGGGCCGGTGCTAACCATTAAGGCGAACTAGGCGGTTGCCTAGGGTGCCAAGATTTGGGGGCACCAAGAAGCAGTGCCCCCAATTTTTTTTTTACAGCATTCCTCCCCAAGCGCGCGGTCGCTGCTCCACTTCTCCCGCCTACCAGGCTTGCAGCGCCAATCAGCTGTTTGGCGCCGCAAGCGTGGGAGGAGAATTAGAGCGGGGGCGGCGTGCTCGGGGAGAAGGCGGAGCAGAGGTGAGCTGGGGTGAGGAGGTGCCGCATGGCTCCCCGGGCCGGGGCGGTGGGGAGCTACCGCGGGGGTGCCTCAGGGCGGGGGGGCAGGCGGGGTAGCTGCCGCAGGGGCCCCTACCTCAGCTCACCCCTGCTACGCCCCCTCCCCGAGCACGCCGTCGCTGCTCCACTTCTCCCGCCTCCCAGGCTTGTGGCGCCAATCAGCTGTTTGGCGCCACAAGCCACGGAGGGGAGGAGAATTAGAGTAGGGGCGGCGTGCTCGGGGAAGAGGCGGAACAGAGGTGAGCTGGGTTGGGGAGCTGCTGCACAGCTCCCCGGGGGGGGGGGGGGGGGGGCCTCGGGGGGGGGGGGCGCCGGGGGGGGGGGGGGGGGGGGGGGAGCTGCCGCAGGGCTGAGGGGGGGCAAGGTGGAAGTTTCGCCTACGGCACGAAACTTCCTTGCATCAGCCCTGGATTCTTAATGTTTCTTCAGTGAGTAGATGGTACAACTGAAACATATTTTTAAATACACTCAGAAAATGACAGTTTATAAAAAGGGAGTTCCTAAGATTAACACCCTTTTTCCAGTTAAAAATATTAATTGCAATCTTTTTATAGGTTATGGTGACTCTTGACCTCAGTGACACATTTGAAATTCTTATCACATCCAATGAAATAAATGCTACAGGAAACCAGCAATCTGTATTGGTACCAAGTGAAGATGCAAAGACTGTTAATTTCCCAATCAAACCAAAACAGCTGGGAGAGATTTCTATTAAAGTGACAGCAATATCACCCACTGCTTCTGATGCCATCCTCCAGAAAGTTTTAGTGAAGGTAAATATTCAAAGGCGTAGGTCATTTCAAGCATTCAGAGATGGTATCCTCTTAAAAAAGAGAATGTTGTGAAAAGGCAAACCAAAGGCATATTTATTTATTTGTGTTTTGACCTGAAGCTTTCAGAATGGGTGAATGTTAGCGGAAAGTTTATCTTTTAAAGAACTCCTTCCTTAACATGTTTTAGACTGCCTTTTAAGAAATATAAACAAAAAAATAGCTAAATTTTACAAACCCTTGATCGTGTGACTGGATGAACATGGGTGAGGATGGGTTTTCAGGACTGGGTCCATGGATGCTACAACTATATTATAATCCAGCCAAAGAAGTAAAATAATATTGTTGTGAGAAAAAGTTTAATGGGTTTAACTGCACAGTTGACTTTATTTCAACAGAGCTTTAACATGACAAATTCTGCATTGTAGGAGTGGGAGAAAGTTAGGGTGACCGGACAGCAAATGTGAAAAATTGGGACGGGGGGGTAGGGGTAATAGGAGCCTATATAAGAAAAAGACCCAAAAATCGGGACTGTCCCTATAAAATTGGGACATCTGGTCACCCTAGAGAAAGTTAGCCAAAAAGTTATTCGTAAATAAAATAAAGAAACTAAAATTACCATCCAAATTCTATGTGTTTTACACCAGTGTGACCCTATTTAAGTTAGGTATAAGGGCCCAATCCTATATCATTTGCTCAAACAAGTTATTTTCACTCGCAAGAGTAGTCCCTTTAAATTCAGTGCAATTTAGTATGGGTTCATGCTTGGACTCTAAGGGTGAAATTTACCGCTATGTAGAGGACAAACATATCATCCTCTAAGCAGACTTGTGCTGGCACTGTCTAAGGATATGTCTACATTGCAGCTGGGAGCCAGCCTCACAGCCCAGATAGACAGACTTATGCTAGCTCAAGCAGACTCGCATGCTAAAAATAGCAGTGTGGATGTTCCAGTACGGGCAGTGGCTGGAACTAGCCACCTGAGTCCAGGCCTGCCTGATCCCCTGGGTCTAAGCTCAGGTCTCTAGCCTGTGACACCAGTCATGCTGCAACATGCACATTGCCACCTCACAATCCTTAATGTATTTATCCTCACAACACCCTGAGAAGTAGGGAAGTACTATTATCCCCATTTTACAGGTGGGGAACTGAGGCACAGAGAGGCTAGACAACTTGCCCAGGGTCACACAGGAAGTCTGTAGTGGAGTAAGGACTTGAACCTGCATTTGTGGCCATCTCCCTAACCACTGAATCATCCCCTTCCTTCCTCCCACCACTTTGTCCTCTGCACAGGGTGAATTTCCCCCTGAGAGCAAAATTTCATTCTTTGAGCATTACAGTGTTGCATTTGTGTGAAAGAACACACCTTTGTCCTAGAATGCTCTGCTCCATGGTCCTGATCCAAAACCCATTGAAGTCAGTGGAAAGATTCTCACAGACTTTAGTGGACTTTGTATCAGGCTCTGTATATTATTGTTTGTTATTAACAATTCATCTTGATAAGCCATTACTACAGGTGGAAGTGCCTGCTGTTTTTAAGAAACACATACATGTGCATCAGCTCAGATGAGTCAATACTCTACTTCTTGCTGTGTTAGCAAGTAGCAGAAAACATTTGTTAGCAGCAGTTTAGATCTCACGATCCGACAAATACTTTTGTACTAGCACAAAGAGAAATCTAAAGACAGCACATAAAGTTTTGGAGATTAAAGTGATCCTTTTTGTTTATTTTGATAGGCTGAGGGACTGGAACAGTCTTATTCACAGACACGTCTTTTAGATTTGACTGGGAATAACCCACCAACTGTATCAGAAACTGTGGATTTCACCTTCCCTCCTGATGTAGTAAGTGGCAGTGAAAGAGTACAAGTCACTGTTATTGGTAAGGATTATTTTATCCTATTTACACCTTCATTTATTTTCTGGCAACCTGTCTTACTCTGTTGCAGACTGTAAATATAAAACTGTCTGCTGGGCTTGTGTTGGATTTACATTCAACTCACATAGCTTCCCAGATATGGTATGGTGTGACACTGTCATTACAACTGCTTTTGAGAAGCCAGTCTACCCAATTCCCCTACAGAACTAGCAGAGGGGTTCTCCATATAGCAGAGTTCTTCCTTTGGCCCAGGTCTGCTCTCCTGCCTCACATGGTTAATCTCACTGAAATCAGTGTGGAGGTCAGTGTGAGTAAAGTGAACAAGATTTGGTCCCAGGTGGTTGCTGATTTGTGGTTTTAATGACACTGTGTTTATACTCATATTGGCTTAATTGTAATGTTAGACTGTTGGGATGGATACTGCCCTGATTAACGCCCAAAGTCCTCTCCCATCATCCACTGGGCTAAGAATGAGGTTTCTATGGAGCCTGTTTAAGACAGAGGAATTTGAACCTTACTTGGATATTATGGTAGTTAGTGTTTTCGTCATGTAGGGGGTCTCTTTCATATGGTTAGAGATTCAGCCTTTAATAAGGAAGCTCTAGGCCAGTATAATTCTGGAACAGAAATTGCAAATGTGTACAATTAATGAAACATGGCCCGGGGTGGGAGGTTCTATTTTGTTTTTGAAAACGGTGACTGCTGAGCAGTTTGAAATCTTAGAATAAGTCCCTGGGCAGATAGGTGAGTGGGCAGTGTGCAGATGAAATGGCTAAAGGGACATGAAAAATGCAACATATCACATGCTTCCACAGTATAAGTAACCCCACCCTCTATGTGGTATGCATACATTTATATGCACTGAACTTTAATTTTATCTTTCAGGTGATATTCTTGGGCCTTCTATCAATGGCTTGGAATCACTGATTAAGATGCCTTATGGCTGTGGTGAACAGAACATGATAAATTTTGCTCCTAATATTTATGTTTTGGAATACCTGACTAACACAAGGCAATTGAAGGAAGATATTAAACTGAAGGCTACATCATTTATGAGAGAAGGTCTGTAAACTTTCAGGGAAGATCCTAGATTTAAAAAAATATCATACTGGTAGAAAATACTTTATTTGTGGCCCTGCATTTGGAATTTGATTCACCATTCTTTTGATGATGTGTGAGCTAGACGAGGAGCCCACTTATTTGTAGCTGTGCTGGTTCCCCAGGGCTGACAGTACTAAAAAGTCAGATAATTTTACATTTGTCCCTAAAGTAAGATCTGCTGAGTATGAAGATGCCATTTGTGTATAGTACCTTTCCAGGGTAAAATTGCCCTGTAAAAGGTGATCCATATAATCATTTTTGGAGCTGGTTATCTCTTGCCAATAAAACAGCATAAGTCTGAGTATTTCTAACTGCTCCTTGCATCATAAAGGGTTGCAAGTTAGTTAGAAAACACAGATTAATCCCTGATAGAACTCCTTTGACTACAGTAGATACCAGGTCTAAATTTGACCTAGCTTCCTAGACTGATCTCCCACTAGAGGGAGAAATAATCCTGTGAATAGAAATATTCTCAATGGTGTAGTTTCCAGGAGTTCTTCTTGGCTTGATGATTAGACTTTGGTCACCCCAGAGCTACACAGTAGAGCTTGTCAGAAGTTTTCTTTCCTGCAGAAAGTTTAGATAAAGACAGTCTTGTGTTTGTTTTTTGTTTTCAGCAAAATTTTTCATGTGTTTTTTTTTTAATTGAAAACTGAAAAATTTTAGCTGAAAACCAATAATTTTAATTTGGAAATGCTACTGCAGTGAAAGTTGTACTCTGGGTGCCTCATGCCCCCATTCTGCTCTATGGCTCAGGCTACAACTCCTAGGATGCACCACAGTGTCCTCGCTTGTTTAGCCACTGTAATGCGTCATGGGAGATGTGGTCTGCCTGGGGAACCTGGCCTATAGAGGATAATGGGGGCATGAGGTACTACAACTCCCTTAAGGCATCATGGTGGCATTTCCAAATGTAATTTTGTTTGTTTGTTTTTGGCCGAAATTCTGTGGTTTTCCAGTGTTCGATTTTTCGATGAAAAAGTTGAAAGTTTTCCATGGAAAGTACACTTTTCACAATACATTTTGTTTTCTTAAAAACCCAATTTTCTGTCAAACAAAAGTTGGACTGAAAATTTTCAACCAGCCCTACTACATAGTTTGGTTGCAAAATAAGAGGGGGAAGAGGGAGAAAAGAGAGAGAGCTGTTATTTTAACACCTATTCTCAAGTTCGTAAGCAATTTCCTGAAGTGCTCTTAAAAAAAAACAACCCAGAAAAAGGCACTGTTATAGTGGAATAAGAGTGTTCACAGAGAGGGTTAAGAGAAAAGGAGGCACTGCTATATCCATTTTACAGATGGGAGAAAGGAGGTTAAATGATTTCCTGAAGGTCATACACTAAGTCAGTGGGCAGGTAGTGATCAAAAACACAGCAGTAATGTTTAAATAATCTGTTAGATTGTAGAACTCCACTGGAGAAAATGCAGTATTCCATAAGGGTAGTTTTATTTTCTGGTTATTAAAATTGTGTTGTCAATATTATAGTTTACTAACCATATCATACTTGGCTAGCTCACCAAGCATGTATTCAAGCTGATGGACATATCCCAATGGAACTAATATATGTATCCAGATCTCTGTATACAATATACATTGTCACGGTGCCATTGAAAGAACTGTGCCAGTCCATTGTATTCTTTGCAAAACCCTGGAAGATATTTGCAGCAGTGACAATAACATTTTTTCATTAATTCAACATATTTTTATTAATCTTACTGTGCAATAAATATTATTATTGATATGGCTATACAGACAGCCAGGATGGGGTTTTGCATAGTGTTCCTAGCATGTGGAATCTAGACAAAAGGTTTCAGAGACATTAAAGAGTCAGTGGAGAAGCAAAACAGTTCAACTAAAAGACTCATTCCATTTTTAAAAATCTATGTAAATTGATTTTGCATTGCAGTTAAAATATGAAGAAAAGGATGTTGTACTGCTATTAGTGGTTGTGATGGGACACTAAACTCAGTAAGTGGTTGATATCAAACTATACCTGAGTTTTTATTAAAGATACATATTATCAACAAAAAGACATACATATGTCAAACACCAGGAAATATCTTGGAAAACCTAGGGATGTCTTTCAATCAGAGCCTTCCTCTAAAACAGCAGTTCTCAACCAGGGGTCTGGGGCCGTCTGGGGGGCCGCGAGCAGATTTCACGGGGTCTGCCAAGCAGGACCGCATTAGACTCAATGAGGCCCAGGGCAGAAAGCCTAACCTCCCCGCCCTGGTCTGAAGCGCGAGGCTCTGAGTCCCTCCACTTGGGGCTGAAGCCAAAGCCTGAACAGCTTAGCTTTGCAGGGCCCCCTGGGTGTAGGGCCCTGGGCAACTGCCCTGCTTGCTACCCCCTAACGCTGGCCCTGACTTTTATATGCAGAAAAACAGTTGTTGTGGCCCAGGTGAGCCGTAGAGATTTTATAGCATGTTGCGGGGGCCTCGGAAAGAAAAAGGTTGAGAACCCCTGCTCTAAAGCACTTCTCTTCATGGCTGGCTGGTCACCGCTGAACCTCCTCATTGTAGGGCCACCCTTGCAGAGGAACTTTCTCCAGCATGCTTTTCTGACGGGTAGCTGGTCCTTTACATTTGGCAGAGACGAGCAGCTGCAGCTCTAACGTAGCTATTTGGCAGCTGTGACTACTTTTTGCTGCACCTTCTGCCTTTCTAGCTGATAAGTATTTTCCTTTCTGCTTTTCTTTTTTCCTATTATTCAGAAGATGGTACATCTCACTGTGCCTTGAATTCATTCTTAGGCTTAGGTACTGCAGCAGTGGAGTTATGTGAAAATGTACAGTTGTGTACCAATCTGACGTCCCTTGATGACAGGTGGATTAAAGATGGAGTGGGAGCCATGCACCTCAGTTTCCATAAACAGATCCTTCATGTTACTGCAACCTAGTTGTTTGTGGGTTTTTTGTATTCTCTCACTCATATTTACTCCTGCACATTTGGCAGAAATATTTTGAAACATGAGATTTAAAATCTCCACAAATATATTCTGCTGGAGCAATCTGACTTCTCTTTCTCCACTGTCTGAAAGCTCCTTTCCCGAAGTCCCCAGAAAGAAATTCCAGTATGAATCTACTCAAGAGTAATTTATACAATACCTGTCTTTGCTTTGGTCTCTTCAGGCTACCAAAGAGAGCTTCTCTACCAAAGGGATGATGGCTCTTTCAGTGCCTTTGGAAACAGTGACTCCTCTGGGAGCACATGGTAAGTAATTTTGCCAGAAAAAGAAAATACTCAGTTTGGAATTTTGTCAAATATTTGCATATTTCATTGGGACTAAAACATTTGTCAAACTGGTAAAAATGCCCAGATATGGCTGCAGTCTGGTTTTCGGTATGTCTTTAGGCCAACTTGTAAGATTCTCTAAGAGACAAGGTGGGTGAGGGAATATCTTTTATTGGTGAAAGAGACAAACTTTCAAGTTTACACAGAATTTAGTGTCTTTTTAGCTTAGACGATCTAAGGCCATTATTAGGACAGAGTTTTTTAGCTTCACAAAAGATGAGTAGTGAGTCACTTTCATCAGAGGATTTGTTGATTGAAATGCTTGGAGGTCATTCTTCTATCTCAGAGAATAGCTCACTAGAACAGAAAGCATTTTATAATGGAACCAATGAAGTACACTGCACATTTGACTGCTAGACACAACACAAAGGGTGAAATTTTGTGCTGTGAAACCCACAGTCTCCTCGGCCTTTAAGCCACCATTGCGTCCTCTCAATTCCAGGCTGCTTTGGGGCCGGAGTAACCCCCAGCATAATTTAGGGAGCTGTTTTAAATTATGGCAGACCTGACTGGACTGACACTGAGGAGCTTCTTGGTAATCACAGCTGTTCAGAATGGCTGTAATGCTCTGTGCCATAGTGCCACCCTCTTCCCTTCCCAATATGTGCCATACTCCAGGGCCATGGTTCTCAACCTATTTATCATTGTGGGCCACCATGTGGGGCGGCCAGGCACCTGGGAACCCAGACCCTGCTGCACGGTCTGGTGGCCATTAGCACACATCTGAGCCGCAGCTGTGTGCTAACTGGGATACACGTGATCCGTGGCCCGCATGTTGAGAACCGCTGCTCCAGGGCTTGTGAGGGGCACTGCAGCCTGTTGCTGTCCTTCACAGTGCCTTTGCTTGGGGGGGAGGAGGTTCAGCCCAGCAGGCTGAAGTGCTTTTAGGATCCCTGTTTGCTCCTGCAGCAGTGTATGAGGACTGGAGCAGGAGGGAGAATCCCTCTCAAAGTCTTGTGGTATTAAAGATAATTTCATGCTATTACAAAAAATAGGGATAGCTCTGAGCATTGTTCTGTCCATGCTCAGCAAATAAATCGTAGCTGTGCTGTTGAGTGACTCATCAGCCTTGAAGCTGTTCAGATACATTTAGGATTATTTGTCAAAGTTCTGAACATCTTTTAAATCTTTCTTTACTGAAGGCCCATGGGATGAACAGTCTCTCTGAGGGTGAAATTAGACCCTGCACAGAGGGCCAGCACAGGGGCTATGCCCCACTCTGAACAGGTCCCCCTGTCAGCTCCTGGAGACCCCAGCTGGTAAGCCCTCTGGGCAAACCAAACAGCACACACAGTTCACCAGGGTACCTTCACCAAGTATCTTTATTATTGTCTTCTGTCTTGTGTTCCAGGTCCCACCAACATAGCAGCAGTTCCAGCTCCCTGGCTCAGCCTTTTATACTACTTGCCTTCTCCCAGCTCTCCAGCCAGTGAACTAATTACCGCATTTGCTCACCAGGCTCTCTATATGTGCAAATGATTCCTTCTCCACCTTCCAAACCTGCTCCTACTCTAATTACACCAGCGGTTGTTATAAGTGACCCGGGTGCTAGCTTCTAAAAGTTCTCTTTATAGCTGCTAATGGCACCATGTCACACACTTCCCCCTTTATTTCTCCTAGCTTAGTTAGGGCCCCCTTTTCCAGTGGTGATCAGTTTTCTCCTTGACATATTTGATCTTACTTATAGGGGTGATTGCCTCTGCCTCATTGCTTCTGGAGTTCTCTTAGTCTGACTTTCTGTGGGCCAGCTGTGAGGATTCTCCATCCACAGAATAAGAACTCCTTAGCTGGGGGTGTACCTCACAATTCCATTTCATCCCACAGGTCATCGCAACAGCGATGAACCCACAGACTTTGGCCCTGGATCTGTCCCATCCTTTGTAGAGCATTCTCAGTCATCCTTCCCCACCAGGACCCCACTGTCTGATGGCCTCTCCTCCCCCTTAGCTGTTAAACTGTCAGGGATCTTCCCTTTCTCTGGGGTACATTGGATTCACCTCCCACTCTTTCTTCGGGTTGTCCTTGTACAGGTGAGCCCTGCTCCTCCATCCCCTTTTCCTGCTTCTCCTCTACTCCAATATTTCCTACCTCAATCCCATTTTCTTGGCTTGTTGGTTCCCATCTAGGATTTACTCTTATCCACCCTTGTGGGCCTGGGGTCCCCTTTTTCCTACCATCCAATGAGGTTCCTTCCCCTGGGCCTTTCTTCTCCTACCTAAAGGGAATGGGTTCCAATCCATCCCTAGGACCACAGGATGGGGCAAAGTTCCTCCTACTCTGACCCTTTTCCATCAGAACTTCCCATGTACCTCTAATGGGACTAGCACCACCAGATACGTTTTTTTCTCCTCATGTGTGCACTCTATGCCTAGAGCATCCCCCACCCGAACCCACTGTGATTTAACTAGCCTGCTCTGCAGGAGCAAGCAATCGGCTGCCAAATCAATAATACCCATCTCTGGTCTTTGGCTAACTCTTACAGGAATTGTTTTTACTCCCTTCTGAGAGCTTCAGATCCCAGTCCAGTTGCAATATTCCTCCATTTCAAATACGGGCAGTCCTTTTCTGTCTCATTGGCAGCAGGTGATATCCTGGCTGGCTGAAATGGCCTTCCTTTCATCCTGTCTTGCACCTGCAGGTCTTACTGCTAAGCAATCTCACATTATTACCCCCTTCTCCCACTTGTGTTGGACATGCCGCTTTTAAAAAAAAAAAATCTGCTTCAACCTGGCTGGTTTTACTGCTGCCTCCATTGTCTCTGGTTGGTGTCTCCTCACCCAGACTTGAGTGGTACCCGGGAGGTTCTGCAAAAACTGCTCAAATATCACACCTCCATTACCACTTCCACATCTTTCCCCCTTGGCCTTCTGCGTGACTGTTCTGGGCCCTACCTCAACAGTCCAGCTGGCCATCCTAAATTTCTGTCTGTATCTTTTGGCTGACAAGCCTACCTGATCCTGCATAGCAGCTTTTAATACCTCATAATTCTTGGCCTGCTCTTTGCTCAATGCCATATAAGTGGCTTGGGCTTCTCCTGCCAGATAAGGTGCTAAACTGTAGGCCCCTAATCCTTTATCCTAGCCACACCATTAGCAGTTCTTTCAAAAGTCAGTAAGACTGCATCAGGATTATCCTTGGGGCCCATTTTACAGTGTCCCAGCCCCCTGACTTCCATGCCTTGTGGCAGGACTTGTCACAGTTTGTGCTAACTGCTGCTATACCTGAAACACTCACTGTTGCTCCACCTGCCATCCCAGCAGAGCTTGTTGCTTTGTCTGCTGAAATGCCTACAGCATCTTCGGCTTCTCCTTTTTTTGCTCAGTCACAACATTAGCACCTCCATTTTCCCCCCAGATTCAGCCTATTCTCACATAGGCTGCCTCTCAACCTTCCTGGCTCTGGCTGACCAGCAGATCCCAGACAAGCCCCTGCTTGTAAACAGGTGCCCCCTTCAGCACTTGGAAGCACTGGCTGGTAACCCATCTGAACAAACCAAAGAGCACACACAGTCCACCAGATATTTTTTTATTTATTTATTTATTTATTTTTTTAATTGTTTTTCTGCCTTATGCTCCAGGTATACCACCACCAGAGCCTCCCCCCATCCTGCTCCATGGCTCAGCCTTTTATACTGCTTGCCTTCTTCTCCAAGCTATCCATCTGGGGAGCTAAATACCTCATTAGCTCATCAGGTTCTCTACAGGTGTGAGTGATCCCTTCTCTCCTACCAAACCCACTCCTGCTCTAACCACACCTGTACCCTGCGTGCTCTAAGTGATGAGGGTGCTGGCTTCCAAATGCTCTCTTGATAGCTGCTAACAGCAACCTATCCCATCCACTTAGATCCCAGTTATCTCTTGAGGTCTTAAATGGGATTGAAGTGGTACATAGGCCTTGTTCTAGCCCTCTTCAAGGGACTGAATTTCCTCTTGAAGTGCTCGGATACTAAGATGATGGGCTCTGTAAAAGTACCTTGATAGATGAGCTGCATGAAGCAGTCACTATCAGTCTAACTCATCTAAATAAGAATGATTTAAATTACTGGCCTGATCCAAAACTCCCTGAAGTCAGTCAGTCTTTTTACTGATTTCAGTGAGCTTTGGATCAGGCTTAATATTGATAGAATGGAGAAAATAAAATTATCTGCATGGTGCTATCAAGATTGTGAACCTTGGTACATAAATAGTGCAGTATCAGGATGTACATATGGCATAAGAAGAGGTCAATGAAAAGTTTCAAAATGTTCACAGTTAAGCCACAGAGGGTTGTTCTGATGTTATGATTCTGTGGGAAGGATGTCTTGTTAAAATCACATTTATTGCTGTTCTACTTCATATAATATAGTTATAAAGTTCCTTGACAAACTTAGGCCCCAATCCTGCAAACATGTACACACGTTTAATTTATGAGCAACAGCTGACTAAAGGTTACCATGTGATGGCAGAATTGGAGCCTCTAATATGTATTTAGTTTTGAAATGCTGAAGAGATAAAGAAAGTGTTGTTTTATGGCCAGGAAAAATAACTATATTTCTTTGCTGATGAGTGGTTCTTAGCTGTTTCTTGCCGATTAATGCTCACTCTTCAGGGTATGTGTCTTCTTCTGTATTTGGAAAGTGTTTAGCACACTTAGGGCACTACAGCAGTCTGAATAATAAAACATGTTTAATAGAAGAAGCTGTAATATATAATTAATTCTTTGTATTTGGTTAACCTTTCCCCCAAGGTTATCAGCTTTTGTATTACGATGTTTCCTGCAAGCTCGTCCATTCATAGATATTGATCCATACGTACTGAAGAAAACAGCTGATTGGATTGTCAAATATCAGAAACCTAATGGTGAATTCTGGGAACCTGGAAGAGTGATACACAGTGAACTTCAAGGAGGCAGTAGTAGTCCAATCACTCTCACAGCTTACATTATGACAACTCTATTTGGGTACCAAAATGATGAGGTATTAGAATACTTTGGTATTGTTTGTAGTTAATAAAATACCTCCTAAGCTATCACAGTAATTCTTAGTCATTTTGCAGTTTTTAAAGAAATTGAGGGATGTCATAACAAGGACAACAACACATGATTTGGTTAAACTTTGCTACACTTCGGCCTGATGGCATCCTTCCTGTCTACTGGTAGTAAGGAGTTGTGTTAAAACTGTGGAACATCCAGTCTCAGTGGACCTTTCCAAAAACTTAACTAAGTTGGAGGGAAAAGAGGCAAATATATCATAGTTGAGGCCCCAGACCCTGCACAGCAGATAAGCATGTGCTTAACTTTAAGGGTGTGAGCAGTCCCATTGACTTCAACAGGAGGGCTCACATGTTTCAAATTAAGTAAGTGCTTTGTTGGCTGAGGCCTTAATGCCTCTAGTGGTCATGTCTGTGACCCTGAAAGAGATTTTCTATATTTTCTTTTATATTAAAAAAATGTTATTTCTCTTCCTTAATACATATTTCTTATAAATTCTAATATTGCAATGTAATGTTGCTGTTGCCTACATTCATTCTTTTGTGAACCGCTTTTTTAAATTCATGGTAGTATTAAATTAACATCTTTCAATACAATCTTTATTCCCAGAATGCCCTTGCTGTAGCAAATGCTGTAAACTTCTTGGAAACTAAATTAGAAGAAGGAATTTCAGATAATTATACACTGACACTTGTGACATATGCATTGTCATTGGCAAAGAGAATAAAAGCAAAAGAAGCCCTGGATGTACTAAACCAGAGATCAGAGCAGCAAGGTACTGTAAGAAGCTCTTTATGCAGTAGTATGAATGGATTTTCTTCCAACTTAAAAAAAAGAAAGCACTGTTTGGCTGCATACAGACATAGGTTGTTAGTGCAGTATAGGGATCTATTTAGAATAAAATACAACCCTAAAGGGCAATAATCCTGATGAAAACTATATGCAACTGAATAGAGTTTGTTATGAAGGTGAGGTTTCAGCCTTAATGACAGTGTTCACTAGTGTGCAGTGTGATTATATTATTGCAAAACATGAGCTTGCTGCCTTCCCACCTTGTTATGAGTGCCCGTCAGATCTTGCTAGCTAAACAGGGTCAGACCAGGTGAATTATTCTGATGATAAGCCTCACTGTTGACATGTTGATGAGCCTGGCCCAGCAAATTCTTACTACCAAGTGTAATGCTTACTACTACGATGAGTCCCATTCACTTCAGTGGGATTCTTTCTGGTACTAAGCACTATGCCTCTTTAGTAAGTGTTCTCTGAATTGGGTCCTTCTATAATTATACGTAAAGGGCTGATCCAAAATCCCTTGAAGTCAGTAGGAGTCATTGTGTGGACTCTGGTGGGTTTTGTATCTGGTGTTCAGCCCCAGTTCAGTAAAGTGTTTAAACACATGACCAAGTCCATCTCTAACCAGCCAAGCATTTAAGCACAAGCTTAATTTGAACCATGTTCTGAAGTGCCTTGCTGTATCCTATAGGTAAACATAAATAGGCAGGTTTTTCCTCAACTATTGAGCATTTATTCATGGCTTCGGCTCTGACATCAGTGATGATCTCTTTTCCAGGAGACATTCGATTCTGGACGTCTCCAGCCCCTCAACTGTCTGACTCATGGCAGCCACGCTCCGTAGACATTGAACTTGCAGCTTATGCTCTGCTCTCTCACTTTCAGCAAGATAGATTATCCGAGGGGATCCCTATTATGAAATGGTTAAGTCAGCAAAGAAACCATCTTGGAGGTTATTCGTCGACTCAGGTCAGACAGTCATCTTTAGAAGCTTTGTTGATGCTTTGCTATACATAAATGTACTTTCCTAATATACACGTCAGCCCACATGTTTAAAGGTGTTTAGGTGTTGCTGCATTCAGCATTTTAATGCTTAAGTCTGATTTTCAAAAGTGATTTAGGCACTTAGGATCCTAAATGCCATTGATGGCCAATGGGATTTAGACTGAAGTGCCTAAATCACTTTTGAAAATGAGTTTTAGGCTCCGCGGGCACTGCAACGTGAGAGTGGCAACATCTAAATACCTTTAAACATCTGGGCCTTCACTTTTAATTTTTTTAAACGTTTCTATAGCATATATTGATTGTTTCTTATTCTGTAACAAATAGTTCTCATTAAGCACACGCTTAAAGTCTCTGCTGGATGAGGTCTATACATTTTCTCTAATAAACATATTAAACAAAGAAAAAGAAGAGCAGTTCAAATATTTTTAAAGGGAAAATATTAAAAAGAAAGCAACAAGAACTGAAATTAAGGGGAGGAAGTGATATTTTCAGCTAAAAAAAATTTCTCACCTGCATTTATATATCTTTCCTATTGAGGATGATATTGAAACAAAATCCATTATTTTATTAAATGATTGCATATTGTGCTGCATTCTGCATCTCACACCATATCTGCACCCTATTTTGTTGGTAACATCTTTGCGATCTCTCTTTTTTGGTCTTTGTAGTATTTCCCTATTTCACAGGGTTGTTGTGAGGCTGAACTCAGTTAAAGTGTTTGGGACCCTCAGATGGAAGATGTTCTCTAAATGCAAGAGGTCATTATTAGGCCAGGTCACCCCTCCTGCTGAGAAAGCCACAGAGGAGAGTTGGGGGGAGGTGTGGGAGAGCCCATGGAGGCTCCCCTTCCAGGGTTTCCTCTGTATTCCTCTTAGGGATAGAGGTGAGAATTGCCCACTGTACGGTGAGAAGGGGCTGGCCCTTGAATGTTGCTGCTATCAGGAGATCCAAGGGATGCACAGGGCCATGCATATAGCGTCCCTGCACTGTCTCTGACCTGGTTCTGAGGACTGTTGTGCCCCTCCTTTAAGCTCCGTGGCAGTGTGATTCTGCCTGTGGCTGCCCCAGCACATACCTGAAAATAGGGGTTCCCAGCATGGAGATGCTGCAGAAAAGTATGGCATCCAGTGGCTTTTGCTGTCCTGCAGATTCCCCAAGGTTTGTGGGGAGAATGATGAATGTCTACCCTGGCCTTGCTCCTGACGCTTCCTCCCTTGGTCTTCCCCTCTCTGTGTGTGGGACCCTGGACCCTTGGACAGGGTATCTGTGGAAACAGGCCAGAGGAGATGGTGCCGGGTAATCAGCTGACCCTACCTTCCGCACTGGTAGGGCTCACTTTATGTATAAATCAATGTGACATGGTCTGGCCCTTTATTGTTTTTATTAATTACTAGCAACAATAAGGGACATTTCACACTAGTGCAACTGCCAAACTCTCTTTGAAAATTGTTACTGTTTTTGGAGTCAATGAATAGTCATGAAGAATAGCCAGTTGTCATTGTCAAATTACAGTTGTTCTTAACTGCATCTGTAGTACATCCCCAGTATTGGCAGAATTTCTGAATGCCCAGTAAATATGAAAGATCTTCGGTACCTCCAGCAGGTATCCATTTTATTGAGACCACATTACCCAAGTTGTGTTGGCATCCAACAGGATCTATATAGTACTTGAGAATGCATTAGTTTAAGCTAGCTGTTTATTGTAAGATGTGGTCTCAGTCAAGTACAATGTCTTATCTCATTCTCACTGCCTTTTTCCAAGGTTCATATTCAATTCAATTTTTCAAATGTCGACAGTAATCTGACAAAAAGAACAGGAGTACTTGTGGCACCTTAGAGACTAACAAATTTATTAGAGCATAAGCTTTCGTGGGCTACAACCCACTTCTTCGGATGTAATCTGACAGATATTAGTTCTGTTAAATGAAGAATAAATTTGTGAAACCAGTACAGTTTCCCACAGATTCCAGGATGTTCTTCGTAACACATTACTTCTATTATTATTAATTGAAAGACCGATTAAAGCAATATCTCAGTTGCAAATAGCTTTCAGATTGTTTTCCAGATGGTATTTTTATTTTGGAGTTTGAAAATCTAGCAGCATGTCATTGTAGTACCATCATGGTAAAGCTCACCAATGAATTTAATCCATCCCTTTATCCACTGTTTCTCACAATAAAGGTTAGATTCATCTATTTTAATTTTGACATTTCTCCAAAGAAAATAATGTCTTTATAGCTTGCTCTTATTTAATTTTTGTGTGTGACCCCAAAGCATCTTTGTTACATTTAAAGAGTGAATTATTTTATATTAGCTAGAGCATTTCCCTGACTTGTAAGAGATTTCCATATTGGAGAGTTTGTGTCATTATCAAACATTGAGGTTAGACAGCTGTTGGCTGTCTGTGTCATACTTTTCTAACTTAAACTATCATAAACTACTTTCTAATTTGTATGTCTGCAATATATAAAGTATGATCAGAATGTTTTATTTTAAAACATTTTTAATTTGTGTGTGCGTGCACGTATGGACAATTATAAAGGAATAATGCTCAATTCAACCAAAGAATAATATATTTATAACATCCCTCATGGACAACATGCTACAGTTTGATATATGAATTGCTGAAATTCTGTTAATATTCTCTTCTACTATTTTCCCTAGCCATTTACTTACAAGTAACCTCAAATATTTCATATCCTTGTTGTTCAATCTGCATGGCATCACAATAACAGTTCATCCATGTTGACATGAGGGCTTGTTTGAGTAACAGTGTGTTTGCAGTTGCATTCAGGATGGAGTTTATGGGCTTGATCCTCTAGTCCTTAATACGATGTGCAGTTCCATTCACTTCAGTATGAGAGAGGTCTTGTAAGATCTGGCCTTCAATCCGTTTGGTTCCCAAACACCTGAAATTTGAGTAGAGTGGTGACAGTTATCCCATTTTTTGTTATTGATTGCTCTCCTACTATAAAGGGACCATCATCTTTAAGTATGAGAGACCAGACAGTGTTCTTGTAGGGTAAATCTTGGTCCTCTCCTGAGAAATGTCTGCCAGTTGCAACCTACCATTGATTTTCTCCTGTAGTCCATAATTTACATCTTCTCTACCATACCATTTCATCTAAGTCCTCAGGCTGGAATTCCAAGTGGTAGCGATTCAGTCCTCTGTGAACTTTGCCACTCAGTCTGAATTTTCCAGATTTTAAGGAATCAGTGAAGTAGATAATTTGAGAACATGGCCAGGAGCAAAAAAGACAGAGATTTCTGATGTTCCTGATTAACTAGTCAGCACGTACTATTATATTTATGACTGGCACAGTCAGAGTTGCATTGTTAATGAATGTTTGCTGTCATATTACAATTTTCCTATTACTAGAAGGTGACCTAAGATTGAATAATTAAAACCCCTGTGTGCCAAACCTGCAGAGCCCAGTGTTTCTATTACCAACAGCTAAGAATAAACAATAAATCAAATAACTGAATTATGAAAAGGTCAAAGAAATACAGCTCATCACCATATTTTTCAGAATATGCGTTATTAAAATTCTGATAATCATGACACAGTTATAATGAGAACAGGACATTACAGTTCATGAATTTGTTATTGTTGCAATAATTGTAAAGAGAATAGCAAATGCTTTAAACTTAATCCATTCTCTGACAATGTAAAGACTCAAATTAAGTCGTTGTCTTGTTCAGATCCCATACTAAACTCGAGGGCCAAATTTCGAAAAACTGCCTTTTAACTTAGGCGTGTACTTTTGCACACCCAGATATTTTGCACCTACAAAAGGAGAATTTGTGTGCCTGCAGAATGATGATATACAAACACATACTGTGTTTTGTGGGTTCAGATGATTGCACAAAATGTTGGGAGCAAAAGGTCGTAGAAGCTGGGTGTAGAAGCTGAGGGGAATTTTCTTTGAAAAGTTGGCTGTAAGACTGGGCAAAAATTATTTTTACATTTTCTGTTTTTTACATCTGCAGTGTCTCAGAGGTACAGCGTTTTTGTTCCTGTGATTGAGCCGCTGTGGAAAAGTGCTGTAGAATGTCTGATAGTTACAATTATTTCTGGTTAGGCCAGATTGTGGCTGGCTCATTTCCTCCTTAACTTGTCCTCCTACTGGCCAAGGCCTTTATAAACTTCACAGACCTTCATGGCATCTACAAATAAAAATCAAGCTGCAGTCCAGAGACAGTCCCAGAAGAAAGTTCCAAGAGTATCTGGGGCTGCATTTCCTTTACTATAACCCCCCTTGCTCTGATGGGAGTCAGGCCTTTTAGTAGAGCCGTGATGCCAGAGAACATGGCATGGGAGCACCAGGGACCCACAACCCAAGCAGAAATACAGGATCTCCCCATGGATGACCCTGGCTTTCTGCATATCTCAGGAGTCTGGCGTTGGGGGGAAATCCCAACCCCCATGACGAAATGATGTGGCAGTAACTGTGAGGTAATCCTCACAGGATTTTCCTCTTTCCTGGGTTTACTATGGGAGAGGTTGATCTGGCCCTGAGTAAGAACTTTAGGATGTGGCCCATTGTGACTATCACTAATATCTCATTTTATCTGTGGAGGAAGCAGTAGTAATATTCCAGCAGAAATGGTTGTCATTACCAAACTGTCAGCTAGATGGACAGTGCAGTCTGCACAGTAAGGGTCAGAAAGCCCCAATTATCTAAGGCTACATTTACACTACAGGGGGGAGTCGATTTAAGATACGCAAATTCAGCTACGTGAATAGCGTAGCTGAATTCGACGTATCACAGCCGACTTACCCCCTTGTGAGGACGGCGGCAAAATCGACTTCTGCGGCTTTTTGTCGGCGACGCTTACTACCACCTCCCCTGGTGGAGTCAGAGCGCCGATTCAGGGATCGATTGTCGCGTCCCGACGGGACGCGATAAATCGATCCCCGAGAGGTCGATTTCTACCCGCCGATTCAGGCGGGTAGTATAGACCAGACCTAAGACCTAGCCTACATACTGACTTACCTGAATTAGTTAGGAACTGGTTATTTTATTAAATTGATGCAACCCTTATGTATATACTCTTAAATCAGGTTAAGAGTGTCCATGCTAAGAGGTCGCATTAATTTAATGCAACTTTTGGGTATAGACAAAGTTTAACAGATACTGGCGCTCACCTAGTTTGCAGGCTTTTATATTTAATATAAAAGCATGTGTTTCTCTCAACAGGACACCATCGTGGCCCTGCAAGCCTTGAGTATATTTGCAGCTCTCATTACTTCCAGAAAAACAGGAATTGATCTAACAGTGACTGGACCTAGTCTGGAAACTCCAGTAACGTTTTCAGTTGATACTCAAAACCGTTTTCTTCTTCAGACCAAAGAGGTACTGTAGAAAATGAGGAAGAATTCTAATCAATCCTGTCACTTGAAGATATTTTAAATATGTTTAAATCACCATGTCATTCTTTCAGATTGCACCTATGCAACCGATGGCCGTTTCAGTTTCAGCAGAGGGTGTTGGGTTTGCCATCTTTCAGGTACGCAGGAAGATATTTTATACTTACTCTTTTTTTTAAGATCCCTTTTACAACGTGGTTTTTGAAGAAAGAATGTTAATAGGAAATTTCATAAAACTAGATAAATAGGAAGAATCTTGTATTTATATGACAAGAGACAAAGCAGGTGAAGTAATACTTGTCTCTCTCATCAACAGAAGTTGGTCCAATAAAATATATTACTTCACCCACCGTGTCTCTCTCATATCCTGGGACCAATATGACTGCACAAAACAACATTGCACACAACTTGTATTTATTTAGCACCTTAAATGAACTCCAAGGCACTCTACTAATTGCCAAAATGATGTGGGTCAAATTCTGTGCAGACTTTTCCCCTGCACAGTCACTGAAGCCAGTGTGATTGGATAGGTTGTAAATCAGTGCAGAACATGGGTACACTCTTAGTAATTTATAGATTACCTTTCCCACTTCTGAACTGTCACAGTTGTTTAAATACTGTACAGCAACACTTCACAACTGTTTAGGGCAGAAAGGGAAGAAGGCCAAGTTCTCTTTAGCAGGATTCAGCCATTTTGTGCTACTCTGACAACACAAAGAGGCTAGAATCTGCCTGCAATCTGCCAGTAGTGAATGCTTTGCACCAACCACCATACCCTAGTATAAGGGAAATATGTGGAAGGAGGAGGGAAGGAAAAGAAGTGAAAGAAGTGTAGCGGAACTTCACTTTGCCAAACCTCTGCTGGGATCCAGAGGACCTCATGGTATGAATTCAAGCAGCCCTAACTTAATTTTTGTCTTCTCTGTCTTAACCCAGGGTTGGCACCGATTGGTCCTCAGAGGGACCAGTAACTGGCTCCCTTATGCTTCTCAGTTTCCTAGCTAGCAGAGCTCAGCTGCCAAAGGGAATCTTGTTCATTATGTTCAATGAAATTTCAGAGGCAATTTATGTAGGGAAAAGTAGAAATATAGGAATTGCCATTCTGAATCAGGCCTCCCGTCCATCTAGTCCAGTATCCTATATGACAGTAGTTACTGCGAGATGCTTCAGAGGAAGGAGCAAGAAACCCTGTAGCAGACAGTATGGAAACTCTAGATTTTATCTAGCATGGGGATTAAGCCCATTGTTCTTTATTGAAAAATAGAGATCACTGTATATCTGGTAGCTATAGACTGTTTTACCACAATGCTTGAAAAGGCTCCCACCATTACTATGCCTACTCAGGGAAAATTGAGCTTAATCTATCCTGGCCATAAGTTTTAAGTCAGAAAAAATTCCAGTTCCAATTCCAGTTTCTTATAATCTGTTTGACCTTCTCGTCGATGTCCTGACACAGTTGGGAGACCAAGAAAGAGAACTGAGAGCTTGTTCTTTTAAAATGATAAATATTTGGATAAGTGACATTCACAAATAAATTTGCATGACTGGACATTATCAAATGAACAGCAGTTAAAGATATGTACGTTGTTCATTCAGCATCAAGCTGCAATGACTGCAGACTCATAAATCATCCATCTTTTTTATGCATTTACATAAATGCTAGTTGTGTTTACAACAAAGTTCCAATATGTTAGAGAATAATTTTAGATTCCACACAGTGGGCCAAGATGAGAATGAATATCTCAGTGGGGCAACATTTGCTCATCCATCATATCAAAAGGGCTGGGGGAGGAGAAGTTAGCAGAGATGGTTTCCAAAAGCAATGATATTACTTAACCTTCACCATTAATGAGAAATACTGTATAATGTACATTTTTAATAGACTACCACGATAACTAAGATTCAAAAACCAAACAGATGTACAAAGGTCTACACTACTAGATCCAGTTCATCTGCTTCATCTAAATCAGGGGTTCTCAACCTTTTTTTTCCTGAGGCCCCCCCAACATGATATAAAAACTCTACGGCCCACCTGTGCCACAACAACTGGTTTTCTGCATATAAAAGCCAGGGCCAGCATTAGGAGGTAGCAAGCAGTGCAATTGCCCGGGGCCCCAAGCCACAGGGCTCCCACAAAGCTAAGTTGCTCAGGTCCCTGGGCTTCAGCCCCATGCGGTGGGACTTCAGCTTTCTGCCCTGGGCCCCAGCGAGTCTAACTCTGGCCCTGCTTAGCAGACCCCCTGGAACCTGCTTGCAGCTCCCCAGGGGGCCCTGGACCCCTGGTTGAGAACCACTGATCTAAATCACCCTTCAGTTGTATTTCTTCTTGTAGCTTAGAGGCAGAGATGCCGCAATTTTAACCTTACCCTTTCTTCTTGCAGCTTGGCAGAGCAAAGACAAGGCATTGGAGTAAGGCATTTCATCCAATAAAACTATTCTTAGATGGGACCACCTCTTTCCTCCTGCTTCCCTTGGTGGGGTTGCTTTTCAGGAAGGAACTCTGATATTGTTCAAATCAGATTTCTCTTTTTCCCAGCTGCAAGCAGGATCTGGCTCTTGTCTGCTAAATCAGATAGCATATAACAGCATGATCGTATTTCTTCAGCTGGGTTCCACTGTCCTAGACCTTATCAGAGTGCAGTAGTCAGACACTCTATTCCGTGGATCTGACTTTACCTCCAGATGTAGCATGTCACACACTGATTCATTTAAATACCAGAAAGTACCATGCCAGCTCCTGTTGGGATCTCAAGGACTGACCATTATTGGAAGAGCCTTAGTTCTCCACAAGATAGATTCTTAGAAAAACCTGTGTAATTCTTGATGATTCTGCTAGTTAATTTGTAACCTTCTCTGACATTGGTCTCAGTGGCAGCTGCCTCTACTCCAAACCCTCTAGGTTGCCATGGAAATTGCAGAGGCCAACATTTTTCTTGTAGTCTCTTGGTTTTGCAGTTGATAAACTTGCACAGCAAGCTATTGTCCTGGCTTGGAGAGGAGCAGGATTAGTCCATCCCTACATTTTGAAAAGAAAGGTAGCTCTGGCCTGGTATGGGCAGACAGTGTGCGTGTCCTAAAGAAATTTATCTTTTCTCTCCTTAAGCCTTTTGGACAAAGGGCCAGATCCCCAGTTGATGTAAATCAGCCTATCTCCATTGAAACGGAGCCACGGCAATTTACACCAGTTGAGGATCTGTCTGGAGATGTGCATTTTCCCAACACGTTTTCACCAAGGATAATAAATAATTAAAAGAGAGAAAATGCTGCAAATACTTCCTCCAACAAATGCCCTCAGCCAAATACATGTTTGTTATGGTGATAGTTTAAGAATAAGAAAGGGAGAGGAAGTTGTCCTTGACTGTATGGAGACCTTCAAAATAACTCACATTTTTGGATGTGATACCATTGAAGTTATTTTCTTAAAGTTCTTTTGGATGCAAAATATTAAATTTCAGTTTCCTCTCCCTGCCCCTCTCTGGTATTCCCCTGTGTTACAAGAAGAGTGGACAAGTCTGCCTTTAACTGTTTCTCTGCTACTTAGTTAGGCTGCACCAAGGAAGGTGGCTTCAGTTAACCTTTTTATCTTAAGAACTGTTTCCATTCCTGTGTGAACCTCCCCTCACCCATGAGAAGGGAGGAAGGGAAAGTCAGACCTTAGCAGCAGTAACTCATTCCAGTAAAATGTTTGCTAATTGACCTGTTCAGTATGTTGCTTCAGATGTCCATGTGCTGGTAGTAAATTCTCATGCATTTGTTTTTCCTGGCGAAAGCTAAAACAACTTGTTCCTGTGATGACAAATTGCTGTGTGGGTTCCAGCTTCATTATACCAAACTTACAACATGTCTCCAATAAACTGACCACTCTATCCTCTGTGTTATTCCTGAACTTGTTCAGTTGCCTCGGGACACGTTATTGTTCAAGAGAAGTTTTCATTTCAGAGCCAGTGGTGTTTTGCCATCTTTGTGGTGTCTTTATTGAATCATCTCTATACTTGAGTGCTAAATTCAGAGGCGCCATACAGAGTGACAGGAGTAAATATCTGTAAGTTGGAGTACATGGTGTAACTTACACAAGAAGGGGTCAGAAGATAGAGCAGGAAAAGTAGCTCACAGAAAATTAAAGGGCCCTCTGCTTTTACTGATTTACTTGTACCACGCTTTGTGGTACCTTTGAATTTAGACTAATATCTTTTCTTTCATTGCCTGGCACCATGCTAACTGATTGTATGGCAATGGAGTACAATTTCCTACATCCTCTCCTATTGTACTGTTGTAGTGAGGTATATAGTGATGGTATATAGTGATGTATGGCAGTTTGTTCATCTTTTCAAATACAACTAACTCTCTGCTATTTTCATATAATGAGCAGAAAGTAAAGTTCTCTCTGCTGTTCCCAGAGATTTATCTAGAAGGCCAAGAAGACAGGGAGGGAGTATTGATTTGTATATGAAAACTATCTAAAAGCTGACTTTCCTTTTGTTGGGTATAATCTCAAGTCTGTCAAACCAATGTATATTAGCACTTAACAGTAAAAGTTTTCTCACCATCTTGTAGTTGTTTTTGTCATTCTAGGAATTTCAAAGTTGAGCTTTTCATTGTATCACGTGCTCTTCTCCTTGAGGTGCTGAATTATAAACTCTTCCTCTGGTCCCTTTCCAGATACCCAACCATGCTTGTGTACTGTGTTTTGGTGGGAAGATATTGCCATTATAATTCAATATCACATGGCAAGTTTCTCAGTCTTAACTCTCAGCAACTTCTAAATGCTTTGTATCTGGCATGTTTGGTCCTCTACGCCACACCAGCCACTTCCCTTCCATGGTGAATGTTCTCTAATGACTGGCACAAGAAAGTGCTCATGGTCGTTTAATCCTGACCTCAGCATCTTTGGTTTGGCTGTTCACATTTATACTTTCCTAAAATGTTGTGATAATCAGATCATCACCTAATTAGTCAGACCTTCCTGAAGAAATTCTTGTTCTACAACCCTTCTCCAGCTGTTTAAAGCTGCTGATGCACATCTCCTACACTAAATAAATCAGGAATCCTCTGCAGGGGTGTCTAGTGTATTGGCTTGTTTTATATGTATACCACTGTCCTCTGCTAGACACACTGTCACATTTCCTTGTGTAGCTCACCTGGCAGAGGCCTGCATTTGTTGAACAGGCAGGTGAAAGCTCAGTTACTGATATTTCTGATTTGTGCTTAGCTGATGACTGTCATGGTGTCTTTTTGTTAATGAATTAGCTGATGTGATAAATTGGTCCTTATTAAGATTTAAATAAATATATCTCTCTATTGTACTGAGCTTAGAGTAAAATGCTAACCATAATCTATTTTGAATGTAGAATTGCTATAATAAATCACACCTCACACACAGGATCAAGGTAAATTCCGTAAATAAAACTATTTTGTGAGTAAAAATTCCTATTTGCTCTCCTTCCATATTCTTAGGTACATGAATGTTTTTCCTTTCTAACTCTGTTAATGTCATTGTCCAGAGTTTTCTTTCATTGCATTTCAGAATTGACAGGAACTATCTGCAGCAGTGCACATTATCAAACGGTGGAAGCTAGTTAGAAAATTCCCACGTTTCACAGAACTCACACATTTTCCTCAGTCAGGCTCTGCTAAGGTTTTGGTGGATGGCACTGTATCATAAGACATTCAGAGTGTTGCACTTGTAGTTTTCTGACACTTCCTGTATTCCTTTGAATATCACATACTGATCTGTCAACAAAAAGTATTCAGTGACTACTGATGGCTGACATTGGACCACAAACAGAGAATTTTGAGAATCCAGATTTTAGACAATAGCTACACTTAATATGATCTGTTCTCTGGAGTTCTACCTTTATAGACTTTGAGATCAAGCCAACTGTCTTATTGAACTCATTTTTGCTGTACAGACGTCATCTATGTTTTGTATTTGTACTCCCATAGCTCAACATTATTTACAACGTGAAACATTCAGTCACTGGTAGAAGGCGCAGATCTATCCAAAGTCAAGAAGCTTTTGACTTAAATGTTGTCGTAAAGGATGACAAAAATGACATAAACCATTTTACCGTAAATGTATGTACAAGGTAAGTAACTCATTTGGTGCTTCTGCTGCTTCTCTTGATCTGTACAGTATTGATACTATTTAAGAGGTGTGAAGTGTGTATTTTTTAATGCCTGTGATTTAGATGTATATCTACTACAGAACAAATGAATGACTTCATAGAAGGGACCAATTATTAAATTCGGAAGCAAATATTTAAACCACCAAAGAGAGAGAGCTTATTAGCTCTGAACAGATTATTAATTGACATAATTATAAAAAGCAAAGCTGCCATTTGTCATCTAATTTTTTTCTAAGTATGAGGGTTTCATAAAGCTTAGAGATATATGGAAGTGTTTATATGCACAATAATATCATTTGAAGTTTCAAAGGTTTCTGGTTATCTGTGCTGCTCAGAAATAGAAGATCTGCAGGTTTTATCACCAAGGAATTTGTGAATAAGTAGAGCTGGTGCAGAACATTTTTGACAGAATGAAATTTTGTCACAATATGCTGTTTTGTTGAAACTGAAACATTTTGTGGAGATTGGTTTTAAGAAAAACTTTGTTAGGTGAGGGGAGAACAAGGCTGTCATATTCTGTAGCCTGGTATGTCTGAGACCCAAGTTCAAGTCCCTGCTCTGCCTGATTCAGAGTGATCTGCAATGAAAAACTCTCTGCTCTGAGTCAGACAGAGCAAGAACGTAAACCCAGGTCTCCCACATCACAGGCCAGTGCCCTAACTACCAGGCTGTAGAGCATGACTGACACACACAGAGCCCCTTCCCATTTTGAAAAGTGCTCGGTTTCAGTGTGAAAATGGACATTGTTCTTGCAAAAACAATCAAAAGGTTTTGTTTTCATTCCAATATGGAACAAAGTGTACCAGCTGTAACAGTATTTTTTGTGATGTGAATACATGTCCACTAGAAGTGGACCGAGATCACCAAACTCAGTTCCTATAGGCCACCTAATAGCCATCGGATATTATTAGCTTTTATATTTGGGTTAGCAGTGAACAGGTGACATAGAACCTCCATATCTCATTAGTTACCTCTGAGCCATCCAATCAGACAACAGAATTGTGTTCTTAATTCCTTTGCTGGCTTTCTTTGTTACTTGGCATGACATTGAATATATATATTAAAGGGAAGCATTTAAGAAAACATCTTTCTGTAGCAGTTTTCTCATTAGACACATCCTATTGTGGTTAAAGAGCACTGGATACTTCACAGAAAACCCTGAAGGACATTGTGCTTGTATATTATATATTTACATTTTTCCCTTCTTTCTGTGCTTTACTACCAAGGACACTGGGAGAAAAACAGTCTTTAAGAGCTTATCTGTTCCTGTTGAATATTTCCTCCCTCGAAATCGGAGCTCCCTTCTTGTGACATTATAATCATTTCCATGCAAACATGACCTTTGCAAACCATCACATTGTTCACGCTGCTTATTTTTTATACCCCTTCTCTCTCCACTCTTTGTATGTTATTTATTTAAACTGTAAACTCTTCAGGGCAATGTCTGTGTGTCACTCTGTTTGTACAGTGCCTAGCACAATGGGGCTCTGATCACAGTTGGAACTTCTTGCTTCACCATAATACAAATAATAATATGTGTGTGTGTGTATATATATATATATATATATATATATATATATAGCCAGATGTGAGGTCAGTGCATAGACAATTGACTTCATTGGGTAATAACCAACAGGAGCGTATAAAATCTTGACAACAAAAGTCCTGATTACATGTATATGTCTCTGGTAATAACCCCAGTGATATAGGTGGAGGTCAGGGACACTGCTGCAGCGTATAAGCTGAGCTGTCTGTAAACAGGATGTTTTTCAAAGTTTTCTGTTAAATGAACTCCAGCACAAATTGTAGACACTTCAGCGACAAATTTTGTGCTAAGTTACACCACTGGCTTGAGGGTAATCTTATCTGGATGTCCCCATTTTCTTTCCCTGGCTGACATATCTGATTCAGAGCTTTTGGCCAATGATACAGCCTGGAGGGACCCCATCTCTCCCCTCTTCTGGGATGCTGAGAAGCACTGCCACTTTTGACATCTTTCTCTGTGCAGCCACTTCAGAATGGCACATGGTCATTCAGGACCAAGCTCCATCAGTCTGGAGCCTAAGGTGGTACACATGAGTCCTGATGGCTCTGTGCCAATGCATTGTGGGCAGGATTTGACCCTTAGAGTAACGGAACTGTGCCTGGATCTGATAATCAGACTGTTTTTCTCTGATTAATGGGACACGTTCATGCCATGCGTAGTGAATGCCTAAATAATTTTACTGTTAGTCATTTTGGAATCCATATAACATGATGTGATTTTCCAATTCAGCATAATCTAGAAATCATAGCAAGATGGAGGTTGTTAGTTCAGGAGAATTCCTAAACTGTGGACTGGTTTGAATAGTTACCGATATGCATCTTTGGCCAATGGCTGCAGACATCTCAAAGTTTTTTCCAATACCAACCAGCAGAAATTCTGCCTTGCTTCAACCAGCTCTTGAGCTGACCTTGGCCAAAAGCACTAGGTTAACAGAATAACATGTGTCATCTGCATGTGTCATCTGCATGCTGCATAACATCTGCATAACATGTGTCCACCATGTGTCATCTGCATGCTGTTGACCTTTGCGCCTGTGATGTCGAACAAAATCTCCTAGTGGAAACTGTGCCAGACTGACAATATCCTGCAACCTCCTGGACGAACCTTACAGAATTAAGATAAACTTTATTGAATTAAGTTAAACCTTATTGAATTAGCTTCAAAAATTTTGGGGCCTATTGTACTCAAAATGCTACTGTGTCTGTTATTGTGGCACTGTATGTAACTCCTCAAGTTGGAGAGAGATGCTAAGGTAATTCTTTCAGTTATCAGACTCTTTGAAGCCACCTTCTGGAGAGGTGCCCGTATATTAGTTCAAACTAGATCCCCCAGGGATCAAGAGACAAAGAAAGGATTTTTGGATAAATAGCCTGTTCTACACAGGCTCATTGCCTCCTTCCTGATCCAGCAAACGGACAGGACCCGTGGTCCACAGAGTGCCCCAATCCTTAGGGAACGGTTGGAAGGACTGGGCCCACTGAGGCCCCATAAGACTGGATGCTTGTTATGAGCTGAAGCTGAGATGAACTGGTAACTACAAGGAAACCCTGCGGGTGGGGTGTTGAAAGACTGCTCCTGCCAGAGCCCATGTTAGTGCTGGGGTGATCTCTGGTAAACTTTATTAGCATGCGTGTAGATTCTTTCATTGTAATATGTTTTCTCTGTAGTCCTTCTACCTTAAGAACAAAATAGGCTTGCATAGAAAAAGCTGTGTGGTAAATATAACTATGGGCAGTCCCACTGTTAACCATCCCTGAATAGACAGCAAGCAGGCCTGCTTGGACAGCCTGCCTCTGCTGGGAGTAACACAGTGATGGAAGGGAACTGTTCAGCCTGGCGATCTCCAGGTCTGAAAGGAAAGAGAACTGTGTCTCCACCCAAGAGGGGTGACGGAAGCCTGAGATTGGTTGCCCTTGTTGGACCATACAAGGGGAATACAGGTGCAGCTTCCCTGAACTCTGACAGCGGCATGATGGATTTTTGGTTAGAAAACCTGCAAGATTGGTAGAGGAGCATGTGTTGTTGTTTCTAATTCTGGATGGCCTTGCCTCTGCATGCAGTGGGATTTCTGCGGTCTCTAAGGAATAGGAAGGCATGCTCCATTAGCTCTATTCATTCTGCCCTCTGTGCTTACTGGCTACATATACTTGATGTCTGTGCTCATTTGCTGCCCTGTGCTGCATGGTGCAGAGGGAAGCAACAGCTCCTAGACTGCTGGAGGAATGATCTCATAACCCAAAGTTCCAGCTCAGAGTCTCCTTAACTCAATTAAGAGACAAGTTTTTCTTCTCACTTCTTTCCTTCTATCACTAGCCATTTTCTTAGCTGTGTATATGTGTGTGTGTGTGTGTGTGTGTGTGTGTGTTTTTTAAGGGCCCATGTTGCAGAGGAGACAAAAGCTGGGACTATCCCCTGCCTCTTTCTGTTTTTTTGGAGGAAGGCACATGTGTAATTGTTAGGGGGTAGATCTGACTCACTTTTTTGGGCTAGTACCAGGTTGGTTGGGTTACCCATTGTTATTTTAGTGGTACCCAGGCTAGTTAGATGGCTTGGATGTTTCTATATCCTCTCAGCTGTAATTATAAACACAGACCTAATTACATCCAGTTCCAATTCAGTTATTTGTTTTCAATAGCAGCTACTTTGGCACAGTGCCTCATCCAACATATGGTTTCATTTGTTTCTAATCTCATGAGCCAACCGAAGTCAGCAGTGGTGCTGTATTTCTTTCAAAGTCATATCTGTGTTCAATCAGCCATGCTGTCAGGCTTAATAGCATTGCTTTGAAAAGCAAGTCTTCCCCTTTTTTAAACCATCCAAATCTACAAAAAATAGTTTTATTCAATTACTTTCAACTACTGTCAGGCATTCAGATTAGAGACACGTTCCATCCCCGATAACAATGGTGGTTTAGCCTCAGTGCCAAGGAAACAGCCTGTGCCACCTACTTTATTTAAAGAAGCCATCTTGGCTGGGCATAGAAGTGTTACATGCAGAAGATAAAGCCATACAAATATTTTGATAGTTCCATTGTGGACCATGGTATGTTAGAGTCCTGCTATAGAGAAAAGCTTTCACATCTAGCATGTGATTCTCAAACTGGCAGAAGATGCTATAATAAGCAATATTGGGGGGAAAATGGAAAAATTCAACTTGCTAAACTTTCCCTTTCCAAAACCAGATGGATAATATGGAATGAACATTTTAAAATTGTATTGGAGGTTGGAGAGGTAATCAAGTGATTCCATTAAGTGAATTATGGACCCTTATTGGAGAAATAAGGAGCATATTCAATAGATTCTTCAATCTATAAATTTACACAAAAATACCAGAAAATGGTAGCACTAAGTGATATAATTTTAGAATCCCAGCAATGTACATTCTGTTTTTTCATGCAGGCCCCCTTTAAAATTTGCACATAATTATATTACTACGCTGCATTTTTGGGACCCATGTCTACCCTTACTGCAGCCAATGACAAAACTCACTTTGGCTTCAGTGGGATCAGAATTAGGCTCCTGCATATTGCAAATAACTGCAATACTTTTCTTTGTTCAGAGGTAAATCTACTCCTTGGCCATGAGGTTGCTAGGGGGAATTGAGATATAAATGTTTGTCTAAGTCGTTAATTTTCAGAGTATGTTAAATGATTCACTTAAAACCTTAGAAATTCAACATCTGTTCTCAAATATATCTTCTTTCCCTCATTTCCCAGATACTATACTTTCTATATTATAATGTGGAATGTAAATAGCAGAGTATTTTATTTCAATGTTAGAATATTTGATTTCTATTAGAAGTTTTCCTGTCTCCATTTTTTTAAAAGGTATTTGGGGTCCGGTGCATCTTCCAAGAGTGGTATGGCCCTCATGGAGGTTGACTTACTTAGTGGCTTCTCTGTATCACCAGATTTCATTTCATTAGATGATCCAGTTAAGAAGGTGGAAAAGGACAATGGGAAAGTCAACTTATACTTAGACTCTGTAAGTTTGAAAAAAACAAGAAAATACATTTGTAATGGCAGGTGCTAAACTCAACTCACCTGTTATTTGATTTAAATTCAGAAGGACACCTTTATAAAAACCATAATTACATCTTTTGGGGAATCAGTAAGGCTAAACCATTACTCACAATACTGTTGTCAACAGGATGCATGTGTCGGTAAAGACTACTTAGATCAGTATGGGTTTGCTGGATTGAGCCTTAGTAAATTGTTTGCTTACTTAAATGGTCTGTGATTTGGCTAAATTTCCACTAAAGAGATCAGTTTAATGACCTAAATTCAGACTCTGGTCTTTAGAGGTGAGTTTTTAGAACATTACCCAACCATCTAGTCCCCATCCCTCCCCTCACAACACCCTATCTAGAATTCTCTGAATGTTTTTTTGTTTGTATTTTTCTAGCTAAATGAAACACAGGTTTGTGTGGATATTCCTGCTGTGAGAGACTTCAAAGTAGCAAATACTCAAAGCGCCTCTGTGACTATAGTGGATTACTATGAACCCAGTAAGTGTCAGTCATTCTTGATAGATCACTGTGATTCACAAGCTAAAATATGCAATTATTGTATTCATGAAAGCAGAGAAGATGTGAAGATCAAGAAAAAGCCACTTGATACTTTATAAATGCCATAGGTTACTGTCCAGTAACCTGCAAATATGTCAAGAGTTATAATGAATTACTGTTATCTCTTTTAGTCTTAATGGAGCAGTTCTCAGCTGGTATAGATCAGCATAACTCTATTGAAGCCAATTTATACCAGCTGAAAATCTGGCCTAGTGTGTTTCCAAAACTACCAAAATGAAGTATGAACTCTGGTGTGGTTCAGTTACCAAGTTAATGATTGTCTTTCAGGTGGCCCTTCCATCTGTTTCTTATTTAAAGTCAGAGTTCCTTAGAGGAGAGAGTGCCAGTATTTTGATTTCAATAGTTATGTAAAAGAGATGTACATGCAGAAATATTTCCCGGGTTCTGTTTTAGGTGTGGCATGTGTTTTGAAGAAATTCAGCAATGTATGAAACTCTTGGGTAAAGTTGGAGGCAGTGGGGAATCATTGGGGGGGGGAGGGGGGGAAAGGGGAGGAAGAGGTTAAGATAGGCCAGAGAAAATGGCAGAGGGCTGGGTCCTCCTATTACAAACTGATCTAAACTTTAATAAAGATTTGGGTTTGTTTTGAGGAATGGGTGAAAGGGTTGTGCCAATTATTGTATCCAGTTTTTATTGTCCATCCCTTAGTAGACACAGAGGAAATCCAAATACTCCATGGCACAGCAATGCATAAATAAATCGTAGACTTATAGAAATGTAGGGCTGAAAGAGAACTCAACAGGACGTCAAGGCTACTTGCCCACCGATGCTGGGGAAGGATTAAGTATGTCTAGACCATCCCTGACAGGTGTTTGTCTAACCAGTAACAGTGATTCCAAAACCTCTCTAGGTAACCTGTTCCAGTGCTTAACTATCCTTACAGTTAGAATGTTTTCCCTAATAGCTAACCTAAATCTCCCTTGCTGCAAACTAAGCTGATAACTTCTTGTTCTACGCTTAGTGAACATGGAGAGCAATTGATCACCATTCTCTTTATAACAACCTTCTACATATTTGAATACTGTTATGTCCATCTCAGCTTTCTCTTCCATAGACTAAACATGCCCAATTCTTTCAACCTTTCCTCACAGGTCAGATTTTCTAAAACTTTTTTTTGTTGCTCTCCTCTGGACTCTCTCCAATTTGTTCATATCTTTCTTAAGGTGTGGGGCCCCAAGCTGGACACAGTATTCCAGCTGAGGACTCACCAGTGCTCAGTGGAACAATTACCTTCTGTGTCTTACAGATGCCACTCTTGTTAATATGTCCCAGAATAACATTAGCCTTTTTTTGCCACACCATCACACGGTTGACACATATTCAATTTGCGATACACTATCACCTCTCTATCCTTTTCAGCAGTATTGCTGCCTAGCCAGTTATTCCTCATTTTATATTTGTGCATTTGATTTTCCTTCCTAAGTGCACCGCTTTGCACTTGTATTTACTGATTTCAGACCAATTCTGCAATTTATGAAGATCATTTTGAATCCCAATCCTGTCCTCTAACATGCTTGCAACCCCTCCCATGTTGGTGTCATCTGCAAATTTCATAAGCATACTCTCCATTCTGTCCTCCAGGTTGTTAATGGAAATATTGCAGACCAGAGCCCTGTGGGACCCCACTTGATATGACTTCCCAGTTTGACAGCATAGCACTGATAATTGCTCTTTGAGTATGGTCTTTCAGCCAGCTGTGTGCCCACTTTATACTGATTTCATCTACACCATATTTTCCTAGGTTACTTATATGAATGTCATGTGGGACTATGTCAAAAACCTTGCCAAAACCCAAATGTATCATGTCTACTGCTGCCCTCCTATGCGGTAACCCTGTCAAAGAAGGAAATTAGGTTGGTTTGCCATGATTTGTTCTTGACAAATCCACGTTGGCTATCACTTCGCTTATTATCCTCTAGGTTTGAACACACTGATTGTTTAACAAGGCATCACTTAGAGGCGTAAAAAGTGAAGGTGTAATGTACAATTACATCTTGTGCTGTTGTATAAAAACTACAATATAAACCACAAATACTCTATAGTTTTAACCCTAAATAAAGAAAAAGATTGCTTCACATATTATTTTACAAGCAGGCCATTTTGAGTGCTATGTAGGATAGCCAATATAAATTAGTGAAGCAGCAATTTTGCCAATGCATGTGATTACAATTAAAGTAATATTGTCCATGATGTTCATTAATCAAGTATCATAGGCAGTACAATGGCCTCTGTGCCCAGACTCTGGCAAGGGGTTTTGTGAATCTTTCCCCCTGCTGTGTTAATAATCAGTGTTCCATCCAATATGACATATGCCAAGTGCTTTAGTGCATTAAGTGCTCTGGAATTTTCTGTCATCACCCACAGTTGCTGAGAGAAAAAAGTTGGATGTGCATGTTGGTTGTAAGGGTGTGAGCAGAACCTTGTCTAATCTGATTAAGTGTCTCTATGCCAGGGCTCTGATTAGGAGTTTGGAGAGCTCTTATCTCCTGGCTGTGTCAAGCAGTGTTTTATCTACAGCTGGCCATGAAACTACATTTCCTTTCTGCAAAAATTTTTTTGAGGCTTTGGAAAAATTTCCATCCTGAATCAGGATGAAAAGACAAAACCTTGACATTTTTTGCAGACCTGAAATCCTGCAGCATTTCATTTCAGAATTACTGAAATGGTTCCACAGCAGGTACGGTTTGCTGTCTCCAAAACAAAATGTGCACCTTGGGCTCCCCGGGAGCCTGTGAGACCTGGCTCTGGTGGGCTGCAAAGGAGCCTGGGAACCCTGGTTCCCAAGCTCCCCATCACATGGGTTGTAGCCTGGCAGCCCAGCAGGAGAGCTGCCAAGGAGCCAGAGCGTTTGGGAGCTGGGGTCCCGGGGCTTCCAGGCTCCTGCTTGTGAGCTCAGTGGCTTGCTAGGTGGGTTGCCTAGGAATCAACACGTTCTGGCAGAATGTTTCGATGTTGACAAATTGGCATTTTCCAATGGAAAAAATATTCATTCAGAAGATTTCCAATCAACCGTAGTTTTCTCTGTGACTGTGGATACCTGAACATGTGCAATTCAAACTAAACCTTTTTGTAAGTGTTCGTGCAAGTACGTTGCAAAACCTTCAGGGATGTCAGAAAGTGAACATAAAAAGGGGCAAAGATTCATATCTAATTTTTGCAGTATTTGCCCCAGTCTGATTTGTGTTTGGTTGTATCCTTTCAAAAATACTTTCCCCATGAAGTTAAATAATCTTTTTGCTATTATTGTTTGTAGCTTCAATATACAGCTGTAAGTTATTATTTTTTTCTGAAGCATTGGCCAACTGCTGGTGATGGATTTGAATTAAAAGCATTGTTTTCCTCTTGCATTCTAGATTCCACTAGAAGTCATAGCATTTCAGTGGCTTGGTTCATCCCAAGTATTTATTTTAATAAACATGAATAAAATATCTCAAACGGCTGTGAAAATGCAGACTAAATATTTGTTTGTTTGACAATGATTTCTATTAAGATCAGAAGCTGATGCTTACTAACCTCTTTGGACAGGGAGAAGAGCAGTGAGAAGCTACAATTCAGAAGTGATGCAAGGCTTGACATCTTGCGTCTTCTGTGAAAATGACTGCAGTCTTTGCAAAAGAGATACAGACTCCAATGATGGCTCTCCGGGATTGCACCAGCACTTTTCAGCGATTTCCCTGTTCTGCTTCTTGTTTGTAATCCAGGCAGGCTTGCTGCAGAGTTGGATGGTGTAAGAAGACACGTTTATGTAGCACTTCTGAGATTTCCATAAATCACCCAAAGAAAGTTTTATATTAATAAGGGCTGAAACATCACCCAGAGATATCAGAGACTAGCCTCCCATTGTGTTCAGTAGAAGCAGGATTGGGCCTATAGGCTAAATCGCTGGGTCAGAAAAATTTTGTGTGTTTCTACTGGACAAATTTAACAACTTCTTAAATGCTTTTTTCATGCTATAGTTACTTACTTTTTCTAAAGAAATACAGAATTAGATTAAGTGAGAAAACAATTAAGGCTAACTTTCTATTTTCCAAAGGTTCTTTTTCTCCTTTCAGCATTATTTTTGTTTTGCTTACAGTTTATGGACGGGTGTTAAAAATTAAGGAATAATGTTAGTTTATGGAATTATTCTGAAAAATTATCTACCCTTTGATTTGACTTTCAGTAAGCATAACTGTGGGTTTGTGTCAGTACCCTGCTCAGTTCTGCTCTGCATACCTAAGGCTACTTAACATTAATACTGAACTCCATTGTATACGTTCATGATTGGACAACAGGAAAAGTAAATGGAGCTATCTTCAAAGCAGTTATGGGAGCCAGGAAGTGATGCATTCACAAGTGGATGATAATAAAAAAAAAATCATATCTTTTTATCATTACAAAGAAGTGAGCTTTTGCCAGTTTGTAAGTTACATATTTTTTATAAATAAGCTGTTCAAAGGTTTCAGAAATTTTTAATACTCTTTACATTGAAAGATGGCTTTGATTCTTACAGTGAAATTTGGCAAGCAGGGTCTCTATTCCTGGGACTTTATTTCTGAATATCCTAAAAAAAAATAATAATAATAAACACAACTTCCCTCCTCATAGTGAATGATCTAGCCATTGAACTCTGGGAAATGGCAAAGAAATGTGATTAATACACAGGTACCGACTGGCAAATCTGTGGCTAGCAGCAGGAGTCCAGGATCAAAGTTGGCTTGACCCAGTTCTGGTGTCCTTGAGCCTTGTAGAAAAGCCACTCTGGAGGACCTCTGTTACAGGAAGCATTGGTGGACTGAACAGGGGTGCTAGCGGCTGTGTTCCTTATGATAACGATACAGGCGTCCTTAGCCAGCAGCAGCTATGCAAAGAAACACCCGCTGCTGCACAGTTTTAGGATCTGATCCTGAAAACCACAATTCCGATTACTGATTGCAGGAAGGGCTTGTAGGAATAGATTAAGTGGAGTGAATGTGTCTGTGTATGCTTATCTTTAAGCATATAAACCCATGCTTCAGTGCTTTACTAGATTGGGACTCCAGGGAGGGAGGGTAAGAGCTCCTTATTCCAGATTATGGACCTGCATTTAGGCCTAAACCTGCACTCCATACTCAGGTAGAATCCAGTGTGTAGTCTTTGAAAGTTCTGCCAGAGTTGGAGGATAGGATCGGGAGCTGTTTCTGCTTTTGCAATGACCGTGAGCACCTGTTTGTTGGATAGTTATGCTCCCATCCCATTCTTACCAAAATTGCCCATAGTATTTAATTTGACTGTGTTTTTTTAAAGCAACCAAAATAACAGTTACTGTAAATACAGAGCAACTGTAGTTGTGACAGAAACAGAGACAAGACAAAATTTTAAAGTTTAAAAAAATACACTCTTGTGTATTAAGTCTCTCTGTGTGTAATTAATTAACAGAGTCATTCTGACTTTCTTGAGTATTGTTTTCATCCAGCTTTGCTATTGCTTAAAAATTTATATTTTTGTAATATTTTTTAAAGAAAAGGGATTAGTTCAGAGCCACATTGTGTAGAGTGATATAAGGACTTTCTGCACAGGGTATTGCCTGCTGAGAGTTTCTTTCTTTTCTTTTTTTAAAATCAAAATGTAGCTTAGGTATATTCAAAAATTGCCTAAAGCGTGTGTATGTGTATATCTATCTATCTATATAGAGAGTTAACTTTTTAAATATTTTTCATAAATGTCGGGTCTCATTTTGGGTCTGATCCCATGCCCATTGTAGTCAGTGCCTTCCCATTGATTTTGATATGTGTTGTATCCGGCTCACTGAGTAGTTGAATAGCATTTTACTCAGAGCTGGATTGTGTCTCACTTGTCTCTTACCCATTGAAATCAATGAGGCTCCTTCTGAGTACAATACCATGCTCCTGGATAAAGGTCTGGAATCTGCCCCTCTGTGAGTAGTTCCATTGTTTTAGTGGGGCCCAAAATTAATAGGAAACCAAGACCCCAGTATAAATATTCTTCCTCCTCCTATGCTTACCAACTCCAGTTTATCAGTCAGCTCTTTGGTCCCATGTATAGAGCACGGGCAGTCACAGATAGTGTATGCTGTGGAAGTTATTTTTTCACTTTGTATCAGAAGATACTGACTCGGTGAACTTTGAGAACACTTCTTCTTTCACCTCTGGTTCTGGTGGGCAGCCATCAGGACTGTTGATATATCACATTCCTCAGATTTATTCTAAATTTCCAGAACACAGAGGCTACTTTTGGCTTGTACTGTACATAAAGCTATCAAGAGGGAAATTGATATGTGGTTAGTATTATAAGAAAGAAGCTTGTTTTCCAGTGGCAATGTACTGGAGATGAACTACTACTTTCATCCATACAATCTCACTGTATGCAATGTAGCTGCATGGTGATAGCTGAGGGAAGATTTTGGACCTATATGTTCAAAATTCTGTATGTATCTAATATAGAAGGCTTGTATGTGTTGGATTATATCATTGTAGGTCAACTGGGCAATGTTTGCCCTTAGCTGTGAGTACGTCATAATGACTATACATGGACTGTGGAGTTTGCCCACAGAGGCAGTTCAGCTACTGCCAGGGTTCCCAGCCAGGTCCCCCCTGCTACTACAGGGACTACAGTTTGTCAGACTCTGCCGTATAAACATCTGTGATACACCTTAGAGAGAGATCTGTCTGAAAGGTACAATTTTGAAAAACGCCTAATTACTACTGACTTCCAATGGGACTTGCTCCTAAGTGACTTATGAAAATGGAGCTTATGCTCCTCAGTCATTTTTAGACACTTCAAAATTCTACTCCTGGAGCATGTTCCAAAACCCATTGACTTGAATGGATTTAAACAGGTCCAAGGACTCTGTAGTTGTATACGGTGTAACTACAATACTGTGTAGGAAGAATAGTCTGTTAAGAATTTGTAATATATTAATAGGTTTAATTTGCAGAATTCATAAAATGAGAGCTAAGTTTGAAAAGGGTTGACTGTATGAAAGACTAAAATCACTAAGGTCATTGATGGCTACTTTGCTCCCTTTTCTATCTCAAACTCTGAGGAGAGAGGTCAAGTTCACCCTTATCATATTGTGTTCAATTTGGCCATCATAATAGTTTATCCTTTTCTAATGTGGACTTTACATTTTCTATAGATACCTTCTCCCTTTATACAGGACACTGTTTATGTTTTTCTTCTGCCTGTTTTGGAACATGGTAGAAGAATATTATTAACTACAGCGTTATGGAAAAGTGCTATACAATTTAAAAGAAAACAATGACCTTCGTATAATAATTTGAAGCTATGGAATTTAATAGAGAATTATATCCTATTAAAGAATTTATATAGGATGGTCCAAAAACATATGGCAAGGATTTTACTTGCTAGTCAATTTAATTCTGTAGACTTATAATTTCTATAGAAGCCTATTGTTTTAATCCATATTAAATTACATAGCACTTATCCATAGCCCTGATTTCAAGGTTTTCAAGGACGATATATCCCCAGTAATTTATGGATGAGAATACAACAGCAGTTATTGTCTACTTGATCCATTCTCTTGTTAGTTCCCCCCTGGGTAAAAAAGCTATTAGGCTCCATATGTTTGATTTCAACAGTATTTCTTAGAGCAAGTTTATTCTGATTTTGTATGCCATTTTGCAACATCATTGCACTAATATTTTATGCAGTGAAGTCTGATAGCTTTAGTGTATCTGACCATTCCAAATATCTTATTCTTTCTTGCTGTCGCTATTTGATTTCTGATGTGTAAAGTGTTAATTTTTAACTGTATTGTAGAGTACTATATATGTATAACCAGAGATGCTGAATGAAGAATTCTCTTTAGTTTTACATAATGCATTTGTTTTTGTATTTCTTAGTACTTTCACAAAATCTTAATTAACAATGCTCAGATCTCATGTCAGGCATTTTTTTATGGATCAATTTTTATTGTGGTTTTTAATATTTTAGGTGAGTTTGATGCTAATGTAAATAAGGAATTATAAAAGCACTGGCTAAAGAGCAGGATAGTGTAGGCAGATGTAATATACTTTTCTTCACAGCTTTGCTACTGCACATCAGTCCTGGTCTATTGCATCTCTACTGATTTAGGTATTGAGGCCATAGCCAATTGTTCCAGAATTCTTGTTACTTTGAGATATGGGAAGAATCTGCTTTGATCTAGACTGAGGTCATGTGCATATTTTCACTTCTAATTAAATCACAGATTTCTAAAAAAATCTTTGCTTTTTTTAACTATTGTGCAAAGACTGCGGCCAATTGGTTTTTGAAATGTATAAATTCTTTATGGTGAATGTTATGGGATTAAATATAGACTAGTCTACTTAAGAATTTTAGAGATTAAAATTGCTTTATTTTTATTCAGATACAAATTGTGATGCCTATTGGAAATTCTATTAAAGATTACATTAATTTTTGACAAGTTGTTTGCCTAGTTATTCTAACCAAAGAAATTCTGCTAGGGTGACATCATTCAACAAGGATGTGATCATGCTCACACTGAAATTAGTGGGAGTGTTGCCATTGTCTTCAATAGAAACAGACCCACATGCAGTGAACTCCATATGGATCTAAGTGCTAATAATGAGCCCCATGAATGACACTGTTTCTTTGAGTAGGTGCAGGGATCTTCCCATGCAGAGTTTATTGCAAACTGGGGCTTAATCTGGCAGCAAGGGAACACAATTCAATCCTTACACTGTACTACAATGTTTTATGAAATAATAATTGAATAAATTCAGCTGATTTTTCAGATTTCCCATGCTTTAGAAAACCTTTTTTCCATGGGGAATTACAACCGGTTTGAAAGCAATCCTTAGTTTTGAAAGTAGTTAAAACTTCAGGTTGTTGAAGTTGAAATGTCCTGAAGGTAAAAATCAATGAATCCACCAGATCAGTTCAAAGCTTTCAAAAATACAGTGCTGGTTTTAAAACAATATATTACTTGGAGTATTAACTGGGATAATAAACAACTGTCTGAAAACATAATTACCACCAGATGGCAGTAGATGATTAGAGAAACTCAGAATATGTCAAAATTATTTCTTGCATTTTCATTCCATGTGTATAAATGTTGCAGGGCTGAAGATATTTTCATCCAGTATGAGAAGATTAATAAAGTAATTAAAATATTGTGCTTAATCCTTTCCCCATATGTTTTTAGTTGTGTTCTTATCCTTAACACATAACTTATGCTTACAAATTTGTTTCTTATAACAGAGAGAAACATCCCCAGAGTGGGAGATGGTTTCATAGTTTTCTGTTTCCTAAAAATATTTTTTTCTCAAACCCAAGAGAACCATTGTCTTTACAGTATTTTTCTATCTTTCTAATGCCAAATGTCTGCCTTTTGAGTTCATCCCCCATCCCCGCCTAAATGTTCCTCATTACTAGTACTTTGGGAAGTAAACAGTGGTAATTTTTAAGGTCAATGAGAACTTTAGCAGACAGTGATCTAAGAATTTGTGGAATGTTTATTTTCTAATAATAAAAACAGTGGATACCATATTTATGCATTAAAGTGCATGTTCTGCAAATCATCTTTTTCCTGTTTTAGTTTGTTACCAGTAATTTTGATTTTGTTCTCTGTCTGTGTTGTACTGCTTTGATCCTAACATGAACAGAATAGTCTAATGACTACTGCAACATGTAGGACAAAGGCCTAACTGATCAACTACAGTTTATGGGCAATGGGAGACGAGCACATATAATTAAAGGCAATTGCTAATCCTATGCCATCATCACACCATTGGATTCCAACTTGTTGCCATTCTATTCAGAGCCAAAGACTAGCATTCAAAAGCTTTTCCTTTGAATACTGCATTTGATCTTCTTGTTATCAAGCACCATGTACTGTGTGGGCACAAGAACTTAGAATGTGCAGACCTGCATCTACCACAAAGTAGTTTGGGTAAGATTCCGTGCTGCACCTGTAAGATGGAGGAAGAGGGTGGAAGAGCTGAACTGACTTAAAGGTTGTGTCTACACTTCAATTAAACACCTGCGTCTGACCCATGTCAGCAGACGGGCTCGTGAGGCTGTAAAACTGCTGCTTAGATATTATGGCTGAGGTTGGAGCCTGGGCTTTGGGACCCTGTAGGCATTTAACTGCAGTGTAGACAAACTCTGGAGAGGCTCCCGGTATAGCTTAGACAGTCCTGAGGGACAGTATAAATTATGGCAGCCTCCCTGGATTGACCTCTGAGCCGAGGGCTGCCTGGAATCTCTACATAGCTGCATGCTGTGGCCCTGGCCCTTGACATGCCCCTCCCACCTCCTGCCTTGACAATGGTATGACCCTACAGTGCAGCTTACCTGGGGATCTAAGGAGGCAGATTTATGGCTGTCTCCTACAGTGCCTACACTAGGGAAATCTTCCCCTGAGCCTTCAGAAACAGGAAAGTTGAGCCATGTAAACAGGCTGTATCTATCAAAACAGCCATAATGGGCATGTTCTTATTTAATGTTTTTCTTTCCCCAGTTGCTGTATGCAAGACTCACAAAATAGGGGACAAAACAGTGAAACTGATTATACACAAAAAACCTGCCAAATGCACAATTAAAGGAACTAAGAAAATAGAGTGAATTTTTCATAGAATCACAGAAATGTAGAAGTGGAAGGGACCTTAAGAAATCATCAAGGCCAGCCCCCTACACTGAGGCAGGACTTTCATAAAGATGTGCTCTAATTTTTAACCACACGTTACTGGGTTTGATCATACCATCAAGCGAATCATAATTAATTATAGCAATTTTTATTAAATGGATATTAAACCTCATGCGCCAAATCAATCTCTAACTAACAGAGATCAGGAGAAAATATAACATGGCGGGGCGGGGGCGGGAGAGAGAATGTTTTTGTACCTTCCTCTGAAGCATCTGGTACTGGCCACTATCAGAGATAGTGGGCTCCATGGACCTTGAGTCTGATCCAAAATGGCAAAGCCTATGTGTTTATACTGCAGAAATTACTGAGTGAAATTGTCTGGTCTGGGTTTTGCAGAAAGTCAACTTAGCTGATCATAACTATCCCTTCTGTCCTTAAAGTCCATGACAATAGAGGACAGTTGTGCAGGAGGAAAGACTTCAGAGCCCAGGAGTTTTTTTCCTCAGTCCCTCTGATTCCATGATATTTGGGTATGATTCCATTAGTCCAGGCCAGAGCCAGCATTTGATCAAACAGTTGCAATGTGGAATATATTTATATACAGAACTTGCTTTGTGTTTATGTTCATGCTTGCAATTTACATTTTGTTTCTAATTTGTATCTTGTATTTTACATACAGCATGCTGCATTTGAAATCTAGTTTTTTCCTCATTTGGCTTCAGTTTGTTTAATTCACCTATGAAATCTATATTGTTGATTCTTTTAGTTCCTTCCAAGTTTGACTTCAAGCATTTTATAATCTAGTTAGCTGTAGTTCTGTTATTAGTTCTATTACGCCTCATTTCACTTCTGTGCCATATAACTATACCTACTTCACAGATGGGCAAGCTGAGGTAAAGAAAGACAACCCAGGTGAGAGAGCGAGCGAGTGGCAGGGCCAAAATAGAACCCCAGATGCCTTGCATCAGACTCTAATCATTAGACTTCACTGCTTTCCATTGTAAAGCGCAATGATATTTGTGAAAGGTGCCCTAAAAATCTAGATCAGCTATTGCTTCTCAGCTTGGTGCTCCAGAACAAGGAGTAATGTGGCTTATGTGCCTGGCCATTGCACAGTGCAGAAGTGAGGAAGGAGGGTATAAAGAGCCAGGCAGAATTAAAGTCCCTTTGAGTAAAAGGATTGTACTGGGGCTCTGACCATCCCAGAGATGGTAAGGAGAGTGTGGAGGTTAGCCTCATCCCCTCTGGCCTGGCCAGTATTGGTGGCTGGCTGAAGAGGGGAGATGTGTGCTGCACACACTTCTAATCCCCTGTATGCATTTGAGCTATTGCCCACATTGCATCGCAGCAGGCTCTGCAAGAAGGTATCGCTGCACCGTCCCTATTGCAGGCCTGTGCCTTCAAGTCATATTCTGACCCTTTGCTTTGTTTTTGTTGACGGGCTTGTGGTTTAAAATAAGTGCCTGTGATTGCTGCGGGAGCCAACAGAAGAGCCCTGTTTTATTCAGCCAGCACGCCAGCTTTCTGCAGCCATTTCTGATATATTTTCAACCAGCACTCTGGGTTTGTAAACAAGCCTGCATCTGTACAAGGCTCAGAGTGACTAACCCTGTTTATATGGTTCTAATTCAATAATAAATCACCCTTTCCGTTTTTAAATCCATCTGTGTTTTGCTTGTCCCCTTTCCTCTTAATGGACTTTCCAGCTCAGAAAAATACCAGTCTAATTAGAAAGATAAAAATGGAAAACAATGTATGTTTTTCTTAAGAAATATGCGTTCATCACATTGGTAAACAGGCCTATTAAAGTTAAGCATATACTTATGTGTTTCTTTGTATTGGAGGGAGTGTACTTTTGATACTGTAAATAATAATTAGGAGAGCTGCTAATTAATTTACATCTTATGAAACTGCTGTAAATAATCTCATATTTACAATTACTGGGCCCCTACTTCAAGAGTTAGGACACATTATTGGCAGTATCTGTGTACCATTATGTAACACTTTTATATGATTTCACAGCCTGCTTTAAAAGTAACTCACAGCCCTAAACTGTTGGATCTGAGGCCAGTGATTGAGTACTTTGTGGAGAGCTGTGTTCATTTCAGAAAGTGTAATTCTAAATATCTGTGGTTGGAATATTCAGACCAAACAACATTTTCCTAGTGTCGTATGTCACTTTTTTCCTGGAACTGAGTGTGCATCAAGGGATAGAGAATGTAATTGAATATATGGGGCACTTGTACAGGAGAAAGCAATCCACAGATTGCTTCATATGGTAGTATATCACCAAAACTCTCAGCTAACGTTTGACCAGGTTAAGTTATGTAGCATATCAATATGTATCCTTTAGGCCACAATATTTTCTTACCATTATTAAAAACTCAATACAGCTGTCATAACCTGGATTGAACACAGATATACAGACTAAAACAGGAAAGCTCCACCAATATAAATAAATAATTCCACTTCACTGCACCTCCTGTGTGGGATATCCTTTTGGAAAGGCATACATCCTGTGGTGTAGATCTTTCGACAGGTTACTTATAAAGTTGGATTGCATTGCAGTTATCCTGACAAAGCAATTCTCAAACACCCTGTCCAACAATCTTTCCCCAAGCGCCTAAATTCATAGATTCATAGATTCTAGGACTGGAAGGGACCTCGAGAGGTCATCGAGTCCAGTCCCCTGCCCGCATGTTGTGAGCAAGACACGAGAAGTCATTCTTCCGCTCTACTCTGCTCTGGTTAGGCCTCAGCTGGAGTATTGTGTCCAGTTCTGGGCACCGCATTTCAAGAAAGATGTGGAGA